ACAATGCCTGGATCACAGAAAAGCCAATCACTTGATGTGAGTACAGATGTGCCTGTGCCACCGAGGTGTCTTTTTCACGATGCTTCTTTGGGAAGGTTGAGGCACTCCGGACAACTGCCCACCAGGACACTGAGGAAACTAGTGGAAGAGCTCACCAAGCCAATGACAATCATTTATAGGAGTCCTGGATAACTGGGGAGGTCCCAGGTTACAGGAAGCTGACAAATATACTTATCTACAACAAGGACTGGAAGATCCTGGAAACTACAGGCCTGTAACCCTAATGGCTCTCCCCACACCAGTCAGGGGGGCCTGCACTTCATGCAACATCAAGGCTGAAAACATCATCCTCAACCTGGCCACCAGTGAGGTGAAGCTGATCAACTTTTTTTCAGCACAATTTGCAGCACAAATCTAAAGGACATGCTATGTACCTAGTTTTCAGGTGAGCCCACACTAGGGTCTGGTCAGGCACAAAAGGGCAGCCTTTGCTGGGGTGGGAATAATTTTTCAAGTTGCTTTTTTCATGGAGGGTGAGTGAGGATGGATTTTGTAGAATGGGAGCCAGCTGGGACTGATGTGGGGGGAGCCAGGCCAACAAAAACAACCTGTGGAGGTTAGCAGAGGCGTGTTTGCAAAACCCTTGTGCTGGCAACTTTCATTTGCAGGCATGGAAGGGCTTGTGATGCTCTAGCCCCCTCTTCTGCCTTGGCCTATGATATTTTTCTTGACCAGTGCAGGAGTGGGGGCAGATAAAAGGCAGTGTTTTCCCTACTCCTACATGGGTATTTTCCTTGCATAAGGTTGGACCTTCTTGGGGCTCACTCTGCCCTCTTTCAGCATCAGGGGCTTTCTTTTACAACCTAAAGTTTGTCAACAGGAGTCAGGTGCTGGCAAGAAGGAAGCAGGTGACCCTGTGTTCCACCAGTGCAGTCCCTGCATCCTCAGGGATGCTAGACAAGGGCAGTGTGCACCAGTATGAGTTCCATCTGTATCTCACAGGAAAGCAGGTGTACAGCCCACCTGAGGGGAGGATAATCTTCCTCTGCTACCATGGACATACAGTGATGATCTGGTCCCTGGCCATTCTGCTCTATGACATGGTCTGAAGGTTCTATCCCTTAAACAGAGATGAGGACATTATTCTGGGCCATTATCTTCTTCCTGCCATGGGTGTCTTGAGCTGGTACCTGGTTTGCCTCACAGTAGGAATAACAGTTTTAGGAGATTACAGGTGGTATACTAGCATCCTCTTCTTCCAACTACAGAGGAGATTGATTTCCCATGGTTAGCTGGAGGAGCTGGCACATGTCCTACCATCCTGCTCTGCAAAATACAGATTGGAAGGTTTGGGCACAGCCTGGGCACTGCAGACCCTTGAAAAGAGGGGACCACTGTCCAGCAGCTTTTTTATTGCTCTTCCCAGAGCGCCAGCACCTTGTCAAATGGTGTTAATCCATTTGTCCCTTGGACAGGCCATCATTGGAAGACCTTTTCAACCATTCATGGCTACAGAACATTCACCTACTCCAAGAGATGGCAAAGATCCATCCCTCTGCACAGTAGGATCCAGCAAGTAACAGCTCTACACATCTCATGGCATTAAGAAGCCAAGAAAATCAGACTTTCTCTGCAAGCATAGCCTGGAGTAGGGATCACAGCTGATGAGATGCTTCTGCTAGTCCTGGGGGAAGTTGCAGACGTGGCAAAGCACTCTCCATAGTATTTGAGAATGGCAGTCCAGTGAAGTTTCCACAGACCAAAAAAGGGGAAACATCCCCGCTGCAGATCACTGACTTCGTGGCCTTCCTGCAACCTGGAGTAAAACTGTAGCATCCTGTAGCACAACCATCCTTGGCTTGGCCACCAGCAAGGCAAAGCTGATTGACTGTGGTTGCAGCACCTTCCTTGAGGACAGCCTATGCCTAGTTAAAATCAAGGTTGAGTCTACACCTAGTGAGAGAGGGAATGCTCCTGGTCCCAGGCATTGCATAGTCCAGCCTGGCTGGGCACTGGAGGTTCCCTGCTTTGCTGTGGTGCAGCAGGATTAATTTTTCAGCCAGTTGCCAGGTTGGTTTTTTTTTTGTAGGGGAGGGCATGAGTGCTGTGGAAGGGGAGCTAGTTCCTAGCCTTGCTGAGAGCTTTCACCACCCACCCTGGCATGGGCTGGGGAAGCCTGATAAAAACCTCTACCCCTGGGGGTAGCAGAGGCAGAAGTTCTGAATCCACCAGCACCAACAGGTTTGCTTTGCAGGCCCTTGCAGAGGGGCTGGGAAAGGCAGAGGCAAGTTTTTTCCTGACCTGTGGGGAAGTTTATTCCTTGAAGATAATGGTTCAGTCTTCCTCGGGCCTGTGATACAGTGATAACATTTTACCTTGTAACTGGTTCCAGGTTTTTAGTTTTAATTTACTTTCATGCATTTGTTATTTGTTTTCTGAAGGAAGATTCTAGCTGGTGCCTGGACTGCATCGGGAAGTGTTGTGACTGTCTGCAGAATGGATTCGCTGCCAGTGCCACCCTGGCAGGTACACCTCCTTCAAGATGATGAGAACATCATCTGGGATCATGTCTTCTTCCAGCAGCGGGTCTCTTAAGGTGGGTACCTGGCCTCACTGCATGGGTAGCATAGTGGGTAGTAAAAGACAGCAATGGGCACACATGCTTCCCCTCACCCTTGCAGGTGTGAAGAGGTTGATCTCCTGGTTAACTGGAGGAGGTGGCGCTAGTCCTGCCATCCTGTTCTCTTTCAGAATGAAGAGCTAATTGGTAGGTTTGGGTGGAGTTCTGAGCACGGCCACTAACATGGCCAGGCACTACAAATGGGCAAGGCTGGACAGGAGCCTTCTCCAACTGACCATTTTCTGATTTCTCTCCCCAAAGTGCCAGAACCTCATCATAGCAAAACAGCATCACTGAACCTATCAGTTTGGTGGTGGTGATGTTTATTTGCTGTCAGAAATAAATTCTTTTGTAAGCAGAGTATTTGTTTTGTCATTTTCCAAGCTTTTGATCTCCTTCCTCTAGCATAATTTTTGTGTCCTTTACACACAAAAAATTGTGCCTTTATTGGAATTGCATGGGGGTTAAGCAACCAAAAAATATTTTTTATTAATTTTTAAGCGTCAAAAAATTAAACAGCTCCTGTTGTTTCAAAGCGGAGTGGCTACTTCAGTGCCCCTGAACTGCCACTCAAGCACATACCTTTTTGGTGCTGCTGTCTGTCCTGTAATACCACACCCACCAAATCTTTCACTGAGCCCTAAGAGCCCTCCACAGACTAAACAAAACCATATAAACTTGAGGGAAGGACAAACCATGCTGGGCGTTAAAAAAAACACACCCTCAATAATGGTATTATGTAATGTTAGTTATCTTTATGCCTACCTTGTACTAACCTCGTGCCTTTTTGTGACTAGTAATTTGGTATAACCCAACATCCAAGAGCCACTAAAAATTGTCCCTGTTGCCTTGCAACCACCAATAAAATTACCTGAGTAATGTAATTAAACATAACCTACCCTCAACCAAGCCCCAGTTGAACTGACCCAACATAGTAACTTACTCCATAAGCTTTCCATAATTACACCTAATGCTTGACTCTTATTTGGTCAATAAGCAATGTGTGGTCTCCAGCAATACTGGTACTGTCACGTTCTATTCATTTGCTCATCACAGATACAGTGGTTCTGCAGTTCTGATTAAATGAATTGTGCTTTGGTAAAAATAAATTTTAAAAAGTTTTCCATATTGCTATCCAGTTGTCAGTCATAATTACTTACATGTTTTCTCATGCCCATACTGGACCAAGACAAAATAATAATGCCTTTTTTTTTTCTCCCTTCTTATTGCTTTTCCTGGTACCTCCTATTAAGAATCTTATTCTGGATATTTTGTTGAATTTGTTTTAATTTTCTGGTAGCAAGAACTTTGGAATCTCTTCAATTAATATGCCCCTGCTAACAGAACTGTTAATAACTTTTCTTTAAAAAATCTACTAGAAATCTTGATTTTAAGAAAGAATGTGCTGATACTTTACCTCTACCCCAGAAAAAGTTCTTATCTGACTCTCACAGTTTCATATTGAAGCTGCAGTTTCCCCTGTGCCATAAAATGTCCAGCTTCAATGGGGTGGTTTAGAGGAAGTGAATGAACCAAATAAGGTTTTAGCAGAGTTTTGTACATACTGAAAACCTCCAAAGTATCTTCAGAATACCTATGATTAAGAACTAATCAAGAGTTATGAGTTTCTATCGAGTAAGTACACAACAAAAAGCAAAGAGTTAACAGCACAATGATCTATGTGATCACCAAAGTGTGTCTCCTATTTAATAAAAAGGCCTAAGTAGACCTGCTACTTACAAGGTATCTCAACGGGGAAGGAATTTTATTTTCCAAGTCCAGGAGACATCCTGAGACAGAACGCTTTAGTTTTGTGTTGTCAAGATGGCTGTTCTTTGAAAACCACTCTGGTGAAGCAAAGGTACTAACTCTCAGGATTGCAAAGGTCCTGAAACCTGCCTTGCTTTGAGAAATACTCCCAGAAGAGTAGCAATTTCAGAGTAGAAAATACCTGCTACAAGTCCAAAAGAGTGATTCTTCTCACACCAACTCTCCTTGTGGCCTCATGAAAAGTTCAACACAGGGGCAGTGCCACTTCAAACACTTCAAAATTGCCACTGCAGGTGCTACTGATGTCCTACTTGTGATGTGCCAGCTCGAAGAGTCAAAGTTCTTAATAGTATTCACTGTCTACAGGGAGTATGCCACAGACAAAAAACCACACCTTTCCAGAAAATACCTTCTTCCTTGTGCAGCTCCTCTGCTCCATGGCAGTACTGTCAAACAGTAGCAGACTAGGTTAAGAAAAAAAATTCAAACTCACTCTTTCAAAGGCAGAAAGATACTTGTTAAGAACATGAAGATCAGATCTTACTATTCTACAGATTTTGCTCTGTCCTGTTAGCATCTCCGTATTCAAAAGAAAACGCAAAACATCCAGTTTTGGTCAGTAAAGTGTCCGTTTAATAAACTCCTTAGCCACATTTCTCACCCCCTTCTTCCCCCTATAAAATTTCAATTCACACTTAAGCAGATGACACAATCTGATGGCATACAACTTCAGTTCTTAAATTTCTGCTCTTAATGCTAAGAGTATCAGGGGCTAGTATTTGACAAAATTACACAGAAGTCAGATGTGCCCATGCAAAAGAAGCCGATCTCTATATACAGTCCCTATTTTTTCTTATAAATTTAAATATTTTAAAAAATGTATTTTCAAAATGTATAAAGTTTAGGGAATACCCCAAATGTATCTTAAAATAAAATGCTTTCTGGTTTCAAAGGTTATTTCAACAATGAAGACTAAATTGCACCAGATAAAAGGCACTTGTGCTGTGTGATGTCTTAGGCAAGTATATGTTAGTTTCATAACAGTGTCTTGAATTCATGCAGCTGTCTCTGAGCATCAAGCATCATTAAAGCAGCCAAAAGAGATCATGAGTAAACTTGATTCCACAGTTGTAAAAACATACAGCATTGTGCTCCGTCTTTGACTCTAGAATCAAACACTACTGAAAAACTGCTGTCATTCACATGGGAATTCAAACTACATTTCATTCTCTCATAAATTACAAAAAGTATGTCATTTAATTATGAAACTAAACCACCAGTGAACAGCTCAGTGTTCAAATAGTTTGTGCCACTGAAAGTCTGTATTTATAAACAAGCTAGGGACTAGTTATTCAAGGAGCAGTGCATTGTATTTTCAATTTCCATTTCACTGTTGAGATAAAAGCGCAGTCCTATTTGCCTTCATCTTCTCCAGCCTTTTCATTAAATGGCTATTGGTCATCTCCATTTCTTCTATCTTATCCAGTGCTGTTCTTAACTATAAAATGAAAAATAGTTATTATCACTTTAGTTTATTTGGACCTTGTGCTGTTCTCAAGCTTGATAAGAGGAATAAAAGTATTGTTTCATAAGAGTGCCACAGAAGTTAAGATATAACTTCCATTTCTGCAGGCATATGAAACTGTTAAAAATAATTGTGAAGCAACTGAAACATGAAGTGTACTCATTCTAAAAGATCTAGGTGCCTGCAGCCTCCCATTACATTAAAGAAATTTACCTAGAGCAAAGTAAAGTATTTACTCCACCATTATTACTTGCATACAGATACATATTCCCATTACAGGTAGCAGGCATCATGCTAGTGATGCAGCAGTTCTTAAGCAAGAATGATCAACAGCTCAGTTAAATACAGCTTCTTCCCAGAATCCTGTGAGATCCAAGCTGGAAAATTCCCAGGCTGTCACTTGACATAGGGACCATTCATCTCTCTAGCAATATTTTGTAGGACTACTTTAAAATATTACAAGCTATCACATTTAGAAAAAAATACCACTTAGATGCTTCCTTTCAAGGAAGTACAGCAGTGAATCGTAGTTAGCATTACTTTAACATGTTAGGTGTCTTCTGAATGTTATATTGCGACTTGAAGGTCATCTTAAAAAACGATTAAAAGATGTAATCAAAGATTACAAAAAATCAGAGCTTGGAGGCAAAAGACAGAGCAGCTTAAGACAGAAAGGAAGATACAGCTGGAAAAGAAACCAAGTTAGTTACCTCTCGCTGAAGCTTCCTTTTTTCAGCTTTGAGTTCATCTTCTACTTTTTCTGCATTTTCTGCTGCACTTTTATACCTTGCAACCTGTCCCTCAAGTCGTCCAATCTGCAAACCCAAACAAGACAAAAGGAATATAACTCAGGTGTTCCACCTGGAGTTCACCTGCCACCAGCTGCTCTTCTAAAGACACAGCTGAGAAGTCACAGAAGGTTAAAGAACTAAGCAGAGAGAGAAGAATTTGAATACAAAAAATCAAGAATTGGGAAACACATGGGATTGAAAATGAATGTGGAAAGTTGAAAAGCAGAAACTGTATGAAAAGATGCAAAATAGAAAGCAGACTGTTATCAGGACATGATGAAAGAGGTCTTGAGCCCAAGAACAGACTTCAGCAGTAAGGAGAGGACCTTGAGACAAATCCTGATTGCAACCTGCAGATGTTAAAACCCACTGGCTGGATTGTTCTATGTACAGCTCCCTGCTACCCCTAAATCCACATGATAGGCTACTAGACTGAATCTGTGCAAAAGAGAAAAGATACACATCTGTGATTTAAATTACAATCTTTTATTTAATTATTTAGGTAATAAGATGTAATTCAGTTCCTAAAATACATAGGTAAATACAAAAGGTATGGCAGATTATAAAGAAGAACTGAAGCTACCAGTACAAGAAAACCAATTTATGTAACTTAATGACTAGTAAGAAAGTTGTACTGTGGAAGATACAAAATTTACTCTCTAAATTTGAAAGAGTAAATATCTCTATGTAGAGAGTGAGAGTTATATCTCTATGTAAACAATCACACTTTGTAAGTCAATAACATGATTTTATAGTTCAGCACCATAAGATTTTATCTTATGGTTAGGCTGTGCATAGGTATTTAATTGCAGTGCACAGGTATTTAATTGCAGGAAATACGAAAAAATGTGGTGTCATTCTATGCAAACTAAATACCAAACAGTAAATCAAATTATGAAATATGCTTTCATAGTTTTTGTTGAAAAAAGTATTGCAAAAGTGTGCAGTGTAATAACAAACATGAAAAAAGATACCTACATTTTGTTCCAAAGTAGTTATATCTTGTTCAGCTTTTGAAAGCTTAAATTTGTATTCACTAATTTGTCTGTTGGCATCTCCTAGACAAAAATAGACATTAATATATTAGTTAAAGCAACTCTTTAACTCCCTTTTAAATAAAATTCATTAAAAGACCATTTATTGAGAAGCCCATACCCAGGATCATAAAGAGGTAAATGTTCTTTCAGCAATCTACAAGAGTATGGAAAGGAAATAATTTTCTTTTATTTAGAGAACACAACTACCATCTCTATAAAAGTGGGCATTGAATTTCAGGTACACCAATGAGATACACACCTTTTAAAACACATGTTTAGATCAGCAAACGAATTCCTTGGAGAACAGAATCAACATAATAATCAACATACACTGCAAAATGCCAGACCACAGTAAACATTCAGCAGCATTCAGCTTAGACATTTGTAGTAATATTTGAATAAGGAGCACAAGGCTTGAACCTGACTGACAAACTCTAAGGAGCTTTGCAAATTACTTTGGTGTTACATTTGAGCCCTCACATTGCCAGTGCTTTCTTCATGTTCATTATACACAAGCATACTAAATGACAGTCTGTCAAACAAGTTTTCAGCTGAATAGCTTGCTTGAAATGAAAACCATCTTATGCTTCTATGAAGCAACACTAAATATTAAGTTAAAGAAATTTTCATGTTTTGCTTCAGGACAGCAGTCTTCTAGATTAAGTTTCTATATCAAAGATTGACCAAAATCATCCCATAGAATATGTATTTTAGAAAATCTTATCTGAAATTCTGTTGTCTATAAATTGTATCCAAGTAGTGTCACCCACTCTAGGCAAGGCTGTCAACTGAAAAATAACTTCCCAGAATGTTGTTCTTCAATACTGAAAGAGTTTTTACAGATTTCTAAGGTATTCTGCAGTAAGAATTCCATGCAAGGACATATACCAACAAAAACCTATCTGCTCAACAGTATAGTCACTATACCACTAGTGCACAACAAGAGGAGCTGGAAGTCCTCTCTGCAAGAAGAATAACTTTGAACAGTAACCATATACCTACTTTGCATTTCAATTAGCTGCAAGTCAGAGCCATTCTCCAAGTCTATTGTATCTGGATTCATGCTATCACTTTTAGAGTATTTCTGTCGTTCCTCTTCTAACTGCATCTTCAGTTTTCTAACCTGAAAAAGGAAGTGTTTCTTTATGAAAAAAAGACTCCCAGAAGTTCAGTAGTTGTGTATGTAAATGTTCAATGGTAAAAAGGTAGAGTAGTCCTGAGATGCCACTGGCTGAGAAGGTTCTGTAAACAAGAATAGCAGAGCGATGCAGGGGACTAAGTCCCTGAGGTCTGTGGCTGTAGACCCATCCCCATCACTGGGCAAGTGCCCTCTGCATGTCAATGCACAACCCAAGCCCACCAGTTTGGTCAGTACTGCAGGGATATCTGCACAGTGCAGGAGCACCTTGTAACTGCACCTTGTCCAGTGCAGGAGCACCTTGTAACACAGCTCACTTTTCAGAAGAGGAGATGGCATTAAACTCCGTTTATGGATTTCTTCTACTGTGTATCTTTCCCACTCTAAACACACACAAAGATATTGAACACTATCCTAGTGAGTTTACAGACAATAATCCATGGCTTTTTCAGGGGGTCCTCTCTCATACTCCCCCTGGAAACAATGGTCCTAGGCAAGTCATTAGTCTTTAATAGTTCGATTTCATGCTACAGCAGCTGTCTCTCAGTTTTTCCAGTAGTCAGGGAACATAGACATCTCAGCTATGTGCCCTGCATATGGACATTATGAAAGAAGTAGGAGGTATTTTTTGGACACTCTTATAAAAATATTGTTCTACAGATTAGTAGTATTTGAGTTAACTTGCAAAACCCCCATTCATGATACAAATCAAATATATGATCCGTGATTTTTAAATTATACAGTAATAAATATGTGTTTATATATTTATATACATTTAATATTATAATTTATTGGCAGTCCAAAAAAGTATCTATACTATAATTAAGGTTCATTCACAGCAAACCCAAATGTTGACAACAATGGTTTAAATTTGCAATGTCTTCAACTAAAAGAGCAAAAACTAGTATTCTTAACAATTGCTCAATGGCTATATGTTTGCTTGAGTCTGTCCTTCTCAAAACAGAGTTGTATTTAAACACCATTATTTTAATATTAATTTTCTCTGAGCTACCAAAATGATCAATGAAATGGTATCACTCAGCAATTTTGAAGAAAATGCCACTTGAGTTTATGAGAGTGTAATTGTACTGACTTTAATATTTCTGCATAAGACAATTATGCAGATAAAAGAAAATAAAAGAAACAGCTTTAAGGATATGCACTAATAGTAAAGTCAGGAACAAGTTAGATTTCAGCGAACCAGCTAGTGAAATGAAATTTCTTTACCAACCAAGATCAAAGTCCCATGGATAAGGACAACAGCAAGAGGAACTGCTAATTCCTGATAGTCAGCGAGGTAAAATGAGTACTTCATTTTGCTTTAGTGATTACATATCTGATTAAGCACCTTTGTGCTTAACAGTTGTTTATAACTTACATATAAATAGTCGGCAAAATGATACACAAAGGTCTACTTCTGAAATGAGTAACTTATTTTACCTGGGAGAGTAATTCCTCCTTTTCTCCAGCCAGTTTTCGTAGCCTGATATCTAAAACCAAAGAATCCAATTAAAAATCTGTGAAATCTGTAACTAAGAATATGTTTTTCATAACTTTCTGTTCCATTCCAAATGAAATGCTCATCAAAGCTAATAGCACTGGGACTGCAAAACTTTGATATCTCACTAATAACACAAGAACCTTCAGTTAATAGCAGAAAAAAGGGAAAAATACATCATTCACACTGTTTATTAGTATAACAATTCTAAAAGCAAGACGTCAGCATTTATAAAATAGCAAAAGAGTTTAGCAAATATTTCTACTTAGTCAAAAGATCAGTAATGACTACAAGCCATTACTACAATCAAGCAACACTGTGCTAAGACTACAGCCCTTAGAAATTGTAATTTTGACAGAAATTAATCATAATAACATTTGTACTGGGAGGCCACAGCAGAAATATGTATCAAGTCTAATTTCTGTCAATATAAAAATATGTAACTATTATATATTATGTACAAGTATAATTCAATTATATAGATTTTTTTTTTCTACATGTTAACAGAGTTTTACAGAGGATTGACCTTGCATGCAATAACTTGCTCAACCTAAAGATAAAAGCAAGTTAAAGTAACTTAACCCCAAAACCCCCAATTAGTGTGTCTGTTGTCCCTGTCATTTTTTGAATGCTTTTAAAACTTCTTTTTCTAATGAATGTGATGGAAGACTGCACTTGATGTTCTTTCATTGATTACATATACCTCTAAATAATTATTTTCATGAAACACAATGGAAAACATACTAATCCAAAAAACAAAGCTTTTAAGCAAGAGGTTTTCCATCAGTATTAAAACAGAAACTGGACCAAGAGAACTAATCTGTTTCAAACATCTAAGCACATATTATTTTTTCTTACTCAGAAGACAGATACATCTGTCTTTTTACTTAGAACAAACAAAAAATTAAAATCAATCCTGAAAGCTGTGTAAGCATATATTCCAGAAGCATCACAGGTGCTTGCACCTGCAAATGTAAGTCACGCTCATTGTGAACAAGAGGAAACAAAGCCCTCAAAAACTCTATAAAGTGTGCTACAATACTTTTACCTAGTGGTCCTTCTCCTGCAGATTCCAAGACCTGAGCAGCTTCCTGGGATACAACTGTTATTGTACCAACCACTGATTCATGGTTTAGATCACCATTTGGTGTGCCATCTGGAATTATAACTAATCCATGTTTCTAAAAGTGCAAAACAAAAAATAAACTAGTCATACAACAGAAGTGCTAAAATATAAATCAACAGGTAAGTTTTTAAAGAGCTTTTCAAGTTCAGTGAAACAATTACAGTGATACAGACCATTTGTCCTACCCTAAGGTCAGGTTTTCAGAGTGCACAAGAATAGTAACCATTCTTCCTCCTTTTTACTGACCTTGATTTCATGCCCCATTCCTGGATTTGTTACTGTAAAGTAACTACTACCAACATACCTGTCCTCTCTTCATTGTTTCCTTCAGGTCAGCCAACTCCTCTCTGAGCTCATCTCGCTCATTCTTAATGCAGTCAAAGTAATCTTTCTGTCTTTCTAGGGCCTGGGCTCAGGCAGATAGCAAGAAAAAGAATGGCACAGAGAAAAAGCATATGACAGACAGCAGAAAGATTTTCTACAAGTAAATGCAAATAGCTCAATACAAATAAAGAAATTAAAAGCGCTTTTTAAATATGTAGTAACATACATCTCTGATAACTGCCTTCTACAACTTGCATATCTAACTTCATGCTGCATTTGTTATTACTATTTTTTTCCAGACAAGTCTTAGATTTTTTGAGAGTTTTTTTTTTAATTTAGTTAATTCTATTTTTTGGTAAATTTTGATAAACTAAATTGAGTACCAAAAGAGTGATTCTTCTTCATACAGGCACTCTGCAGCAAGAAATAAAATTTGCTGAAACTCAAATGGCAAAGATCCTAAAACATTACATCTATTGAATTAATTTCTCTGCCTTTTATAAGGTACAGAAGTAGAAATCACACATCATGGAAGACCTTGAATGTATCCACTCATGAATACTAGTTTATTTACTAGTTGCTTACGGGTTAGAACACCATTTGCTAAACCCAAAGCAATCAGTTTTAGAGAAAAAAAAAAAGGCAGCAAAAACTAGTAGCACTATTTTAGAGCAAAAAAGTATGTCAGCTAGAAGTGCAATGCGGGTGTAGACAGGTCTGCCTAACTAAGCTGGAGAGGTTACCTGGCAGTTAGTTGGACACTTCTACTTGATTGGCCAGCATACAATACTGCATGCATTAAAAAAAATCCTCACCATATATCAAGTGCCAAAGTATACGTACATTTTGGCCAAGAAAATGATCCAACTAAACCCTATGCTATGCATGAATGTGTAGGAATGGACTGATACTATGAAAGAAATTAAGGTGTACACATTTGTACTGTACTTGCCTCATGTAACTTCAGTATGCTGAATTTTAATAATAATCTAGAATCTGTATACTAGAGCAATGTTTTAAAGCATTACTGAATTTCAAGAGAAAATTTTGACAAGTGCTGTTGCACTTGATTTATTCATATGTAAATGTAACATTTAAAATAAAGGTAATTCAACATGTGGGAAAACAGTAGCTGATATCTTAATTTAAAAATCTGTAAGATGTCCTTTTATTTCCTAGCACACACTAGATTTCTAACTACATTATAAATAGCATGAAGAACCTTAATCATTACATAATTTTGTACTCTACTTGAAAGACACATACATCTTTTTAATTTTTAAAGAACAGTGGAAGAGATGGAAGGGGAAGTAAGCTCACCACCTGAGAGAATAGGCATAGCAGCCCAGAATCACAGACAGAGACTATGTGTACTTGAGAGTGTCCTGTGATGATGTTGACCTTCCCCAAAAATATTTTCTGTCCTTACCCCCAGATAACACAAGTGTTGGAAACCTGAAAATTCTGTTGGGGGAGGAAGTGAAACTGATAAAACTATTTATTTCTACCTATGTAGATCTAAGTAATCATTATTCAAAACCAGTAAAAATCCTAATGTTTGTACACTCAGGGTTTAATTTAAAATTACATGGATTTTGAACAAAATCTAACTCTGCAATTCTTCTGTTAGGGCAGGAAACAGAAATCGGGACAACAAACTTCTGCAGACAGATTTTACCATACTTATATGAGCAAAATCTGATAATATGCCAGAATCCAGAGACGTTTGGAATCCTTTTTTCTAAATATTCAAAAAATCTTAGTAACTTTTATACCAAATTCAGAGCTGCCATTACTAAATGAAAAGTTGGAGCCACTAAACAGTGGAATGACTGTATATGTCAGGAATATAACCCAACGCCGTAACTCAGTGTCCTCAAACTGATCTAATTTAAGATGAAATATAACCACAAATTTCAAGCACTGTAGAAACAGGACAACATAAGAAGGCAGGTGTAAAACAAACTTGTGCTATTTTGTTCTGTTTGCCTCTTTTTCTTTTCCTGAAACAGCTAAAATATATACATTGTAAATTTAGGTTACAATTTTAGTTATAAACTACATTGTGAAGCTTCGCAGAGACATCTAAAGCTGGAATAGAGTAAAAATTAGCAGTAGGAGAAAGGCTCAAAGACTGTGAGCTAAGAAAAGTATGTAAATATTTATAGGTATGAGAAAGAAAAGAGCAGCATTTTTACATTTTCTTCTCTAAGAGAGTTCAATTCTGAGAATTAAAAAAAATAAACTAACTAGAAAAATAACTAGTTATGGTATTTACAAGAACACAGACTTGCAGGGCAATTTTAGCTAAAGGAAAATACATCTATCTTTCTTGTCATTCTGGCTGGTAGGTATATTTGAATATCAGATATACTGATTCTGGCAATGTATTTGAAAGAGCACAAAAATACTGCACAAATTGAGACGATCCAATATACAAATGTGAGAAGTAAGTATGGAAAGAATAGGGTAAATTAAAGATAAAAGCTTTCAGAAGAATGTTCAGAGAACTTTAGAATTATGAAAATTTTTGTGATGGAAGAGAAAGACTGAAACATGAAAAAAAGTAAGACAGCCTAGTTTTTGAACTGGCCACCAACAATTAAAAGGCAACTTTTCAAGGTGACTTGAACTCCAGCAAATAAAACCATTTTCAAAGAAATCTGCATGTATTGAAATATGGTATAAAATTCAGGTAGAGAGAAATGACTCCTGAGCTGTCAAGAGGCAGACAATTCCTTTTTAAAGACTTTCCAATTCCCTATTGCCACCAGGCAATCTACTTGTGTCCCAGAACAGCCTCAAGTTCAGAGACATGTAGTCATCACCAATGGTCAGGCGGACTCAGTTCTATGACTTCTGCCTGCCCAGACCCAAAGCTGACAAACCCTGCCTGACCTACATTAGCTGCATAGTATCAGCACAGTTCTTTCTGTACCACCCTCCTTCCTACACAGGAACCTTATGGATGCTTCTCAAAAGGTCACTTAGAACCATTGTTTCAATTATGACTCTCAATACCCAAAGTATTTAATGTGTCATATCAGAAAACCAGCTTGGTTCAGTGTTGCATCCAAGCTAACCAATTATACAAGGATCAGAAGTGCAATACAGGAATGCGCAAGTTGGTTTTAGAAGTCAATTCAAGATCACATCTTTTACCACTAGGCATGCCATCAAAAATTTTGCAAAAAAATTGTAAATTTTCTATGTGTAACAGTTCATGTTACAGATTTAATTAGTACTACTGATCATTATTCAAGTAAAGTGTGGCTCATTTTCTGAAGAAGAGAAAGACTGCAAAACATTTTATTCATTTAAGTTTGGAGTGGCCTTAATTTCTTTGGAGTACACAGAATTCCTTGAGGTGTAGAGGGCATCCATCTACTTCTAAATTTAAAAAATTAGCTTTCCTCCCATATTTAATTCATACCCCTATTTTTTTATCTTTCCAATTAATTGTCTCCTGGAGATCAAACACTTCCTTGGTTATGGAGTCTATATTCTCCTGCATACGTTGATTCGCCTGTGGTAAATAGGATGAGGGAAGAATAAAAGAGGAAAGAGAAGTAAGGAAATGGAAAAACAAACATTAAAATAGATAAAGGAAACTAAGTAATAAAAGTCAACCAAAGAGTTTATGAGCATGAAGTTACAGAAACAGTGTGCAGTTTAATGTAATATATTTCTCATTAATTCATGCAAGAGAATGGTATTTAATTCTATTCAATCACTGCTGTTGGGAAAACTTACTGCAGCTAGAGTTACTTTTCTTTAGTGACTGTTCCCACTGCAGTCTGTGGATAGAAACAATTACCCTGCTGTACTTTCCAGATACCTTCAAGTCCCTTTTGGAATGGAATATTATGGTTAACAATTGGTTTTATTAATTTTTTACAAAATAAAATGATCTTCTTGAAAGTATAAAGAAAGGAGTTTGAATCAAACATCTGGGAAGCAAAGAACAATTGCTGACTGCTTTCTGATACTATATGAATACGTATCAAGCACAGTCCTACTTTTTTAGCTGACTATCACTGCATTTCGTTGCTTCCCCTGCAAACATAATTAAATGCTTAACTATGAAGATGACCTAAGAATTTTAAGGGCTAGAGGCAATTTTTTTCCTTCTTAAGGAGTGAATTTGATTTTACATCTGGGAACAGAAGACAATGTCTTTTGTTACTGTTAATAGATGAGGAAAAGACACAATAGGTGGTAAATACGAGTCAAACCTTCAAAGGGACTGAATGTATTTGTGGCTATTTGACACATGCTACATTCTACCAAAGTAAACACTGCAGAAAAATCTACTGTATATTCTTGGTTCATATACTTAAACCCAAGCAAAACCCCAAACAAGAACATGCAAAGCTGTTCTTTAATTCTCAGTGAAGTCAAAGATAACAGAGCAAGCAACAGCGCCACAACAGAACTTTTTAGGGCTTTTGGTTGTCAGCATTTATGCTAACTCAAAATGGTGATACTTAGGATAATCTTAATCCTTTTCTTCTGCTATTAAGTCATTTCAACTCCAGTTCATGAAGCATAATACTTCTAAAACAGAGCTGGGACTTTTCAGAAAACATTTTGAGTTACAGTACCTACCACCTAGAGAGCACAAGAATATAGTAAAAATAAAGGATCAATGAACTGTTACACAGCTTTTGAAAATGACAGTAGGACACTTTGGCCTATACACTTAAAGATAATAAATTTTTACTGCAGTGAAGAGATGGTGGGAAAATTATGTAATACTTGAACTACAAGTTCCAACTAAAATAATTCGGAAATGGACACCCAATATACACTGACAATATACATTCATAGACATATATATATATATATATCTCTTTGTGGACCATTTTAAAATGAAGACCAATAATAACTCTGGGATTTCATGGTGGGTGGATTTGTTTCCAGAAACAAAAGGGAAAAGGGGAAAAAGAACCAGGTGAGAGGGGAAAAGAACACACTGCACACCCAGCAACATGGTTGTGGCCCAATAACATGCTGACCAGTATTGCTGTGTATTATGCTTGATGGGTAAGCAAACAAATATTCAGTATGGCAAACTTCAATTGTTGATACTCATAAAAATCTGAAATAACTGAAATGGAAACTTTTGGGAGAGGCAAAGAATAACATTTGGTATTATCCATGCATCAGAACTTTTAGCTATGGAAAATTATTTTGGCCACACAAATATTAATTCTGCCCTCACAACAAAGAAAAGATACTAGGAACATTCATGAGAGAACCACAATTTCTCACAAGAATTAAAGGCTTTGCAAGATGTAATACATCTGAAAACCTTGCAGAGATATTTTCAGCTTCATAAATTTAGGAGGATCAGTAGCTTAAATTTTACACACTGAAACAAGATAAATTATTTCTTAAAAATGCAAGATAGTATTTAATCCTGTTTTGTGCATGATTCCCATTCAAATCTTACACCACATTTATTTGCACAGGTTCTATCCTACACTCATATGAGCATACCTCTATCAATTCATCTCTCTGTCGAAGGCCCTCTTTAAGTTCATCCAGCTTATGCTGCAGAACACTGCAGGTGTGTTTCTGTCTTTCCAATTCCTGTATTAAAGAAATCAATTATTTGTATTTATTTTGAGTTATGTAAGAAATTGCTGCAAGGATTTGAGAAATTATACCTACCAAGTAGTTAAAAGACCACTGAAGTGGTATAAATTAGTTGTCCAGACACATACTACACAGAAGATTTTATTTAATAAACTGTAGAGAGAAAATGCCATAAAGACTTAAGCCCAATACTAGCAAGTAAAGCTACTCTGAGTATTTTCAACTGTTCTTACTAAGTAGTCCAGATTTCTGTACTTTATAATTAGGAAAAAAATACCTTTGACTTCTCTTCATTCTCCCTATAGAACTCTGCTATCTGTTCTTCTTTCTCCTCAATAACATCCTTTAAAGTATCCACTTGGTAAATCAAATTGTTTTTCTCGTTGTCTAGTTGAGCATTGGAAACCATAGCTTTCTTATACTTCTCTTCAACTTCAGCTAGCGAATCCTACAGATAGCAGAAAAGTTGACATTAGTCCAACTTTTTGTTGCATTGGTATAATGTTAAAATACCACCATAATGTTAAAGTATGAGATGTTAGACATTAAAATTATGCAACCATTTTTGTTTATGAAATATATTCTTTAGAGATACCAAGTAACAGTTTAGTTCCATTATTCAACTTCGGTCATACACAGCAATGAAAATTTATCATTACAAAAGCATGAAAAATACAAGATAATATTCCACTCGCATTTTCTACTCTGCCACATTCACAGCAACTCACAGGGATACAGTAGTAATATCACAGCTTCACATTCTAGTGAATACCATGTATCTAGTAGTAATATCATTACTCAAGGCATGCATGAGAAAACAGTTCAGAATGAGGCAACAAAACTAACAGAGAGAACGTGGACAATTAAATCAGTAAAAGAGACCACAAAAGTAATTCCAAGAGTAGCTTTAACTTAATGCTTGTTATTTAAGTAGTGCCCTATGACCTTAGATTCAAAACTTTAAGACAGCCACATTATTCCAGTAAAAAGGACTCACTATTTAAACCGGTATTTTATCTTTGGTTTACTAAATACTTTTTTTTAAAAAGCATGTAACTTGGTTTTTTACCTAAAAGTGTACCATGCTATATAGCCTCTTAGACAAATCTCCCCCATTCACCATTTTATTCTGTTTTTAGTTATAGTTGGGGTTTTTTGTCAGACTTGTAACAAATGTCAACCATTTAAATAGTTAGAAAACTATCACTCCAGGCACTTTTAAGCATGCCTTTATTTCAATATGCATTATGTAGGGGTTGGGACTACATGGTCTTTAGGGCCATTCCAACCTCTTAACATTCTATGATTTAAAAATAATAAAAATTTATTTTCAGAGTTATTTTCCTAATTTTAGAATTGAAAAAGAACTATTAAGCCAATCCCTGGATCAAGTAGATCTAAGTCCTACAAATCTCCTTGTACTACTTCATGTAATCTGTTCCTTGAAGACATAAGTAGCATTATCTCCATTTTTAAATATTTGTATTTTGATGGTAGAAGCACTAGCACAGTAAGGGCATGAAGCTTGGGTTTCCAGAAAATAGAACACTACAACTAATATATTAGGAGAGAAGGTGGCAACAATCTAAGTTTTCTAAGAAAATACTGAAGATTGCTATCTGTTCAACAGTAAAATTATGCAATCATTTTTGTTTTGGAATTATAGTCATGTCTTCTCTATGGAAATACCATGTCACAGTTCAATATTCTGCTATGACAAAGTAAAAAAATTCCCTATCCCCAAACACTATTCTACATTGTAAATCTCCAGTTTGGGAAGGGTGTCCTTAGAGAATGTATTTTATCTTTTATAATTTTATCATAATCACATATATTTATTTCACTGAACTCTGGAAATCTCTGCTGGAGAAATACAACTTTTTGAAACCCCAGAAAAAGAATTACAGAAGAATTACAGAAGATCGGAAAATAATTACAGAAGATCGGAAAATAATTACAGAAGATCAGAAGAAAATAATTACAGAAGATCAGAAGAAACAAAACAGTATAAATTGTGAAAATATAAGACAAGTACCATTATAATCTGGGAAGTAGTAGTAAACAGCAAAGATGACTCAGGATAAGAAAAAATAAAAAGATATAAACATAACTGTGTGCAAGTAATTCTGAAGATTAAAACCAGAGAAAGCATTTCTTTTTGTGATGCTGTAAATACAACAAATCTTGTAAAGATTGGCAAAACAAACTGCTAGAGCTAGCAGACCTAAAGACTCTCAAAGAATAATCCATCTTAGAATTAAAAAAAAAGAAATATTAGGATTATAATGAAAGCTATAGTAATTTCACAGGGAGGTATGAAATGTAACCAAAAAGAATGCAACTACAGAAAAAGTCCAATTTGATTATTTTTGTGAATGTGGTGACTGGAGCCATGTAGTAATTTAGTTCAGCAGAGATCTCTGAATGCCAGCTGGTCTAATCTCCTAACTAAAGAGGGTCAAGACTAAGACAAGACTAAAAGACAAGACTGGCCTGGCATTTAAACCATTGTATTAGAATGTCATTAATTAAAAAAATAATGGCAGGGGAGGATGAATCTGCAGTTACAAAAGAGGAATATGTATACTAAGGATTTGTATACGAAAGAGTGAAAACTGCTTCTAAGAGAGAAGCTAAGTTATGTCTAAGTCTCTATTGGGTTGAAAAAACTGAAACATTGCAAAGACTTCTTTGCAACTGTCTTCTTTTCACGTATTACACACGTTCCCCATGGTTCAAGAATTCCATGTAGCCTTCAGGGAGCCTTCCAGTTTGATTTTAAATAATTTCTAAACACTTGAAGGAGGCTGTAGGATTTTTAAGAACAAAGCAGATGGAATGAAAACACATAAGGCTCTGCACATAACCTAAAGCTATGAAGAAACACCACACAAAACTTTATCAGTAAAGTGCTATAAAAATTAGCTTGCTCAGCTAGAACAAGATGATTCAAGCCAAGAGACATCAAGAGAGTGCACTTTTCTTTTAACAGCATAAAAGAAAAATTTTGAGGAAAGACACAGAATTCCTTTCCAGCTGATGCAAATAAATACATAAAAAAAGCAACAAAACAATCAAACTGAGACGGCAAAAGATTTGAAGACCTAACTAAACCAGAAGTAGCAACATTAGAGTTTATCCTGCTGTTTATACTGACACCCAGTATATTGTAGCCAGGTAAAACCCACACTTCTACCAGCATAAGGGCAACCAGAGAGCTTAGAAGGTAGTGTGTTTACAAATCCCCGTTAGTCCAACACTGGAAAAAACCAACCAACCAACCAAACAACCAAAAACCCCAACATTTAAATGCAGTGTAAAGCACGTATTCTGGTAACTCTTCTATAACATACACAAGACAAAAATTATTAAGTACAAGTTGAGAAAAAGGCAGTACCTTCCTAATTACAAAAAAAAAGGTTCCCAAAAGAATCTCTATGGAATGTGAACTAACCTAGGAACATATTATTCAGTATTAGCAACAACATAAAATGCAGTTGAATTCTGAAAGCCAAGCATAGATTAAGATCTTACTATTGCACACTGCACTCTTTGGTAACTGTAATGGATTACAATAAATAATAATTCATTAACCACGAGTCAGAACAGTAATCATGAGATGCTGACAAACACAAAGAATGAGAGATCCATTCTGAAAATATGAAGCTGTCTCACATTACACTTGATCTATGCCTCATATGCTATGTCTAATAATCCTGTAATCTACTACTCTTTGAAGTCCTTTTAATATTCATATAACTAAACCAAAACATACTTCATCTGAACATATTGCTATCAGGTTTAAAGTTTCCTTCAAAGGTAAAGTTATACTTCAAAGAGGAAATAACTTTTCCTACACTAAACAGCTCATATTACATGTTTTCCCCTTACTATATAATCTAATATATTGTTAAATTGAAGACATTCAAGTAAGCTGATAAATACATCACTGTTATATGCTCTAATACAAGAGGCATTAATTTAATTCAGTCTCTATATGGATATAAAACATATGGAAAGTTCTCTTTACTTTTAGATAAAACAATTCATAATTAGATAATAGAAAAGAGAACAGAACAAATATCCTGGAAAAGATTTGCAAGCCCCATAATTTTTTGAATTCTGTATCCCTTCAATACAAAACAGTGAAAAGCAGGATTATTTTAAATTTACTGCACTGTTAATTGTGTGAAAATGTATAAAAGAAAGGCATACATACTAGTTTAAACAAGTCAAAATACAGACAAATCTCATGTGGAAGACTACACCTAGTACAGGTAGTTAGCTCAGTGTGCTGCTGCAGCAGAAACTGCAGATTGCACCCTTGGTAGGGGGAAATGTCTGGGGCTTCCAGCAAGAGCAGCAATCAGGCACTGACCCTTTGCACAGCAAGGTGCATGGGAACCTGCAGCACCAGCCAGGTAACCACTGTGAGATACAACAGGAGCCAATGGCTCAGCAGGAAAACCCCACACCCCTATGTGCATGGACTGTGGATACAAAATGGATTGCTTGGCTCAGGGTCCATTCTTGGCAGCACCCAGCTTGATCTCAAACTAGTTCTCAAGTTCTTTGTCATAATTATCTCCCATTTCTTTGTTCCCTACTTAACACCTAGTAATTATTTTGTATATCTGTTTATTTGTTAACAAACCTCTAAAAATATAAACTGAACACCTCATTATCTTATCAGAAAACACCTATTTATATCAAAACATCAAAAAGTATTAACTCTTCTAACTGTAATCAAATAATAAACATGCAATCTCATATACATTTTAAGCTGATGTTCTTCATGCATTAAAACTTAGATACATGCTTTAAAGAAATTTTAAAATTTGTTAGTGAAGCCACTATACGTTAGTGAAATTCGTGATAACTCCATTATGCAAAACACCCATTCCAAATGCATGCTTGGGAGAAGCCCTGATACCTTTAATTCTTTAAGTCCCTGCATGTATCTCCCTTCTACATCATGTATCTGGTCCTTAAGATCATAGATATCCTGCAGGACATAGGAATGAACCATTGCATAAGAAGTATGGGGAAATAATTTAATATTGAAAAAGCATTAAAAGGTTTACATGCACTTCTGTCAAATGACAAAGCCTGCAAAAATTCCCAGAAACTAAAATTAATTCACAACAACTTGATGGAAATTAAGGTTTTGTTTATAACCCTAGCTGCAAGACAACTCAAACAGGACAGAATTGTTTGAAATTCAATGTAAACAAAGTCTTATCTTAATAAGCTAAACTCTTAAACCATAATTACAAACACAAACCAAGATAAAATACCAAGAAAGTAAAAAAATACTTCATGATTGAAAATTACATCCTCATAACATTTTCCTATTATAACAGAAGTTCTGTATTAAAAAACAATCTTCCTATTTAAACTAGCTCCAAATTCTTTAAAAATGCAATTCACCCGTAATTCACTGAGGGAGGCATCAGGATCCACCAAACTACTCGCATCTCCACTTCCTCTCCTAGATGAGCTGCCACTCTGAGGAGCTGCACTTACTGAATTGCGAGATGAGGGCTTAAGAAAGGGAAAAACATTGTGTCAGGAATCATACGGATATTTCTGGTATACTTGATAATACTCTATAAATTTCTTCAAAGTCACAGAACGGTTTTCCCTCTGGTTTTTCTTAATACTAGCTTACAGACAGTATGTTCCATTGGGTATTTTCCAGCACCTGTGTTTCTTCTTGGTAAAATCTTGGTTTCTTGTTGATGACTTAGTGTACCAGAACATTAGAATTTTGAGTCATCTATCCAGAAGATATTCATAAGATGGCTAATAGTGCTGAAATACTGTAGACATTTACAGTATTTCCAAACTATTATAATTCCTGCCATCCAGGATTCAGAAGAAAGCCTACAATGAGAAGCTATCATACAGATTTTTATAGCTTTAGCCTCCTAAATTTTAGCCTTACCTGGTAAGTATTTCTGACATGAAAAATAAATTTTATAGAAAATTATTACTGGCCAAAAGAAAACTAAAGAATAATTATTTTCCCTCAAGAAATAAAAAGGCATAAACCATTAATTCTGGGGAATAAAAAAGTTGATCTAAAATTATTTTTGCAAGCTAACCCTGACAAAAAATACAAAGAATACACAGAATGTACACTTTTTGAATTAATTCAACACTTGCGATTTGGGAATGAACACTGACTTTAAATAATTTTAAAAGTTTTGAAAATTAAAAACTCTTACCCTTGAAAATATTTCTGAATGTGATTTTTCACTTTTTTCTTCCAGCTGAAAGAGAATAGGGAACATGATTACCTTTCGTAATAAGGAACTACCAAATTGGCATCTTTTGTTCAAAGAGACTGAAAAATATTTTTAAATGAAACCATTTCAAAAATTTCAGATGTTAGCATAGATCAAGACAGGAAAAATAATATTTAGCTTAAAAAACAGTTTTTACCTTAGTTGCAACATAAATGTAAAGAAAAAAGCTTGTAAAGAAAAAAGCCAGAAACCTTTCTTTAAAGTTTTTAAAATGTCATTACCAGTACTAAGCAACAAAACACACTTACTCTCTTAAATTTTAAGTATATTTAATATATATTTCAAGTAACATTTAAAATTCAAGAGTAATCACTACAAAACTAGATGGCATAACAAATGCAAAGCTTCATGCAGGTACACTTAAGGCACTCAGTGACAGCAGGGTGAATGCCCTAGTTAACAGAAAACATCTGTAAGTTCAATCTCTTTAGTGTCACCTGCGATTAAATCACAATAAAACTGGTTCAGGTAAAAGCCTATAACTGAAGTGTACTAAGTAAAAGCATTCTACAAAATAAATTCAATTCATATTTTATCTACTGAAGACTAAGGAGAAGAACTACCACACTCCCTTCTTACTTAGGAAACTGCTATTGCAAAATTGTATTGTAGATGTCCACATTTTCTACATTTCTATGAATGAAAATAAGTGGGATTAGACATATATTTAGTATGGTGTCTCACATGTCCTGCTTCTCAAAGAACACCTATTTTTCTCTATGCCAGAGAAAACAGTTTTGGAAGTCTATTGCAATCACAGAAGAAACAAACATTACTTTGTAAGACTTTTCTTTTTCCTCCTATTGTGGTCTCTTTAAAAGCAACATTGCTTCTTCATGACAAATTCACTACCTCCAATGATGTACTGAAATTATAGATTGCAAATATTTGTTACCAGTATTGATCTGAAGGATACATTTAGGCTAACCTAAATAAAAATATAAATTTCAAATCTAGTAATAAATAATGATGATAAAACAAGCAACTGAGAAGGCAGCATAACTACCAGTCTCAGCCTCCACATTTCTTTTAACACAGCATTTATTTCAGAAAGTCAGCTTTATTATGGGAAAAAAGTGCTAAAGTTTAAGCTGGAGAAATAATGAGTCTCTCATGATTTGAGAATGTACAGATGATAAATAACATGAATTATTACAACTTACACAACACTGTAACAGTATTAAAATATCTAAATGCAAAGTCACAGAAAGTGGTTATGAGAATAGTCTAGCTCTCAGTCTCCCATTGAAAGCAAAACCACAGCCAACAGCTGTGGTTTGAACACAGAGGTTCTGCAGCCTTGCTGTAACCTGACAGACTGCAACAATAACGTCCTTGTGGAGCTTCTTGGAGTGTCTGAACACACTCCTGAACTGCAGTGTGAGGTTGCTGGCCCTTCTTGCACTGCTTGGCAAGGGTACAAAGAATTTGGCTCTCACCTAAGCAAGCAATTACACACTGCTGATCATCACATACCGCTCCTTTTGCTCAGCTAAATAAGCACAGTGCTCTCAGCCTCTCTGCCTACCTACTGTATCTGCTAACCCTAAATGCTATTTCAAAAGATATACCTAAGAACAGAAATTTGCCTTTTACTCCATGCTATTAAACACAAGAGTTTTGCCTGCAAGTAACAAGAATTTTTAGAAGTTACAGCATCAAGAAAGAGAAGGTGGCTAGGTTTGGTATAAACAATGTTCAGCCTAAAGGGAGCTGCACAGGAAAACCATGATAATAATTTTCCCTTAACATGATCTGTTGATTGACATGGGACTCTGTACAAGTGCATAGCCAGCAAGGAGTGCTTCAGTAATGGATTCTGAAAAAATCTCATATGGGATGAAGGAACACTAAAATGGACTAGTGCGGATACAGTTCTAAGTATTTTTGTCACAAAAAGAAGTAATAGTATTCCAAAAGTACACAAAAACCTCCCTAGCACACTAAATTTCCATAAGAAAAAAAAATGTAAAATATTTAAAAGATTAGTCTTTAAAAGTCTTTAAAAGATTGTTAAGCTTACCACACACACACACAAAATTGTGAAGTGTTACACTTGTCACATGCTTCTAGCAACAGGCAAAATCTCCTTTAAAATAAGGAGCATGCTTTTTAAAATTTCACTCAGTACATTTTTATATGAAAATAAGCCCCAACTCCGCAATAAACCAAGTTGCAATTAAGTAATTTAGAATGCTTTAACAGTATTTACTCTTTCAGAGTATGAAAAGAAAATCCATGGTTTTGCTGTATTCACCATAGTGTAAATAAAAGCATTACACTCACACTATTCAAAACTTGGCCATAATCTGCATCGGAAACAATGCTTCCCCTGTGGTTGGAACGACTGAAATAATCAGCAGTAGTTTCACTTTGATGAGAAAAATCAGAGAACTTCAAAAGATAAGGAGAAGGTGAAAGAGAACTGAAGATGACACCACTGAATGAACAAAAGTTTATTAAAAAACAAAAAAATCCTACCTTAAATCTCCATTATTGCACTAAAAACAATGAACATTTATTATTGATTCATCTTCCTCAATTAGAGTAATATAAAAAAACCATAAAACTAGACCAAAGGGTTTAGTATTAATTTAAGGTCAAACCCAAACTACAAAAATTAAAAAAAGTTTGCAGATCATAAAAGACAGATTATATAAACTGATAAATAAAAAATATAAAAATATTTTTCCCTACAAATGTTGTCTTTTTTCAAATCAACACAAATCCAACAGTGCTAGCTATAATCTGGGCTTCTTCTCATTGCTGAGTTCAAGACATCTTAGACTAGAAGGCAAAGTTACTCCCCAAAGATATATGTCAGACTAGCACCTAAAAAGTTGGGGAAAAATACTAGTGCTACACGTTTCTTGTTAAAAAAGGCAAAATATATCTAAGCACAATTACATCTGCCATGGGAATTCAAGTGAAATACTCAACTGAGAAACATTATGCATGTAAAACACAGTATTAAATGGGAAGAGTAGGTTTATCATAACCTTATTGATAGCATTCTACTTCAAAAGGCAGAAAGTTAAAACTAGAATACAATCTTCACAGGGAAAGTGATTATAGGAAGAAAATGCTTCTATGAATAGTTTGAAAAGATATTGTCCGTATCCAATTCTCACCATTAAAAAAAAAGTTCTTTATACTTGATGTATGTGATTAAAAGCCAATAAGATGTCTAAAAGTTACATGTATAACTGGTGTACAAAAACCAGTTTACTGATGAACAACTGGCTCAGATTATGCTATTTTAGGACTACAGAATTTGTATTTGTTGTCACTGCTATGTTATGTTCTATTTCTCTGACAACAAATTTTCCAGCTATTTTTCAGCTACATCTATTTTTTAACTAGTATCTTAATTTTCATTAAATGTAGCTAGCTAGGTAAATTTTGATAGCTGGAAATTTGGCTAAACTTTCCTATTAAACTTACATTTCACAAAGTATAGAGATACTGGAGAGAAGTCTTCTTATTTATTATGATTACAGCAAAAGAACAACTCGGGCTAAAATCTATGACAGTATTGGTCAGTCATTCAAAGTCCACTTTGCTGTTGAGAGGTCCATATACCTAATAAACCTTGCTGTCCCTCCTTCTATACTTTTTGCAGTCCTAGTATCTTTCCCAATGGGGTCATCAAAACAGATAGATTTTAAGATGGAGAAGCATCATACAGTTTCTCACAAGCGTTTTCTACCTTTTACATCTCTCCTACTTACTCTTCTGATTTTCAGAGAGAACTAAGCTGACTTCAAATGCATTATCCAGAGTAAAACCAAAATACAAGACACAGAAACAGTAGGAAATTAATGTTAAATTATTCATAAGATTTTTACTCATCTGCTTTTCAGGATTATTTCATTAAAAAAATGCTTTGAACTTTATTAAGCATTCACTAGTGTGAGTGAATGTACCTTGGCATGACTGGTATAACATATACACAGTGAGATCTTATATATATATATATATATATATTCCTATATATCTTAAAGTATATACTTTTAAGAGATTATCTCAATGTTAATAAAATCTAAGGAGACAAGCAGCATTTTCACAATGAAAGAGAATATACATGTATGTCAATACCTGTTACATTTTAGAACTTCATAAAGCAACAGCAAAATTACCTTTTCCCTACACCCTCAAAAACTTTCTCTGATATCTCTTGTAGCAAAAAACATTCATTTCTGACAAATGTGGTTTTATTTGTTTAGTACATATAACAGTGTTAATATGTGAGAAATTTCAAAAAGGACTGAACATTTCTATTTAGCCCACACTAGAACACTGATAACTTATTTTATTTTGTGTGGTGTGACAAATGAGCAGCTATATCAATGAAACTTAGACAATTGTTCTGTGGCAGAAGCAAAATAAATCTCTTTAAAATCACTCTGCAGCACAAAGAGCCAAGTTTAGAATTATATTTTTAATACAATACAGACCCAAACCCAATTTTTTCTCATTTTGGATACTTGTTATCATAAAAATGAGCAAACTTCTTACTGCATGATATAACAGTTTCCATTAATCCTCTTTCCCAAAAGAAAGACTATTCCACATTTACTGTACCGTGTTTCATGTGCTTGCCCCATCTATGACACAGGGTGGTAACCCCAACAATGTGCTATACTTCAGTTACTAGTTGTTTATTACAAACATTAAAAAGATATTTAGAAAACTAAATTCCTTCTACAGTTTACTGTCTTACCGCTAAAAATTTACATCTTGCTAAAAATCACATCTCTGACAAATCAAAACTTCTTATGCCGAATGGAAAAATCAAATCTGTGTGTTGGTCAGTGAAACGGTCCCAAGTGGACAAACTCGTAACTGCTGATGTGTTAATATCAAAGCATTCATCAAATCATGCATAGGAATGCTCACCACAGGACTACTTCGGACTGAGCTTGCTCTTGAAGAATAACTGCATTCAGATGGCTAAAGAAAAGTTATGAAGGACACTTTCACAACTTTCATAGATTTTTGTCTGCAGAAAACAAAGATAATGAAAGAAACAACCAGAGGCCTATTATACTAAGAGTGCAAGAACTATTTGAGTTATGTCATCCATCACCACACAACGAGGCCTGAGAACAAAGGAATGAAGTACCATGTATACCCAGTCTCAGCCATTATCATGCCACACTCATACACTGTAATTCCTATGCACAGTCACATACTCTCTTATCCTATCTATGCATTTCCAGTTAGTAGCATACTTTTTGTGGAAAAAAAAAAAAATTAACATTCTCAGCAGCATTTTTTATTGCTTTGAGGCATGACTATTTCCATGTGTCACTAAGAATTCCCTTAAAAAATAGCCAAATCCTTTAAAAAAATCAAATCTTAACTAGCTGCATAATTAAATTAAACATTTAAATTTCAATTTGCTTTTAACTGCTTGGAAGCCTGCAGAAGTTTTAACACACCCTGGGAACTGAAGCTCTGCAGTACATTTAGTGATTTTATTTTACAGTCACTCATGCACATTCTCCTGAAAGAGTTAAGTTTAAAGGTGCAAGGCTGAAATCTATTTATGCAGCGAATAATAAAAGCAGCTCTGAGCAACGCAACTTAAAAAGAAAAAAAATTACCATTTCATGCTGCTTTGCCCCTCCCTATGAAGACACCTCCAGCAGAAATTAGAATTATATTTGTATCAGAGCTATACGTAATAGCAGTCTTTATTTTACTGCTCTCTCACAGAATCTTCTAACATTTTCTTGAGAGCATATGCAAAGCCAAAAAAGGTAAATCTTTCATTTGTAATCCGACTGCAAAAGAAGATCTCACTAACTAATTAAAAATACTACATAATATTTGATGGTTTTTTAACATAGGTTTAGCGTGTCTCTAAATGGCAGTGTAAGATAGATTTGAACTACTATACGCAGCAAAAGGCATGAAGTTTCAGACATTCATGCCAGTTTTTAAAGATAACTTTTTGCAGAGCTACTCTTGCTTTCTTATGGCACTACTAGCTACTCTTGATTTTGTAAAGATGCAGATTAGGTTTTCATGCTATTGCATTTTTTCATGTTTATTAAATTTAAATATAGCATCCTATTTAAAAGTATTCAAGGTCTATTTACTGCAAACTTCAATAATCTCCTGATTTCCATCCAAATGCTTAACTTTTTAAAGTATTGGTTTGGTATTATACATGCAGTTGTTATTTAGTATGCTTGAAATAACTTATTCTAACCCCAGTGCTCTTCAGTATCATTGTTGCATTCACCAACTTTATGCTTGCCTGTAGAAAGAGCAGTAAAACAGCAACTACTACAATACTTTAAAGAGGCAATTTAACAACATTAAGAAAACGAAACTGAATGCCTCCAGAAAATTATACACAGAAAATGCAATATAAAAATATTTTAAAATGCACATGTAATACTGTCAAACCTCATGGCCATACAATACAAATTTAAGGCAACCATGCATATGGTGCTTACAAAACAAACTGATACTTCTTATCAAACCAATGTTTAAAGGAGACACCTATGAAGAAAAGCGTAATTTTGTATTTATACTGGGCCATTCAAACATCTAAAGATAAGTAAGATATTGTTTTACATTGTACTAACCCTGTAGCTCCTAGCTGGTGCCATTGGATCACTGTATAGAGAAGATGACTATAATGTGAAGAACAGAACAAGTCAGAAATACTTTTTCTGCATACACACATTTTTAAATTTATGTTCTATATTCCACTAAAGTCCTAAAGATTTAAATACTAAATTTTAATCTATCTATAGTAGACAGAAACTGTCAGGAAGGGTGGGAGAGCCTCCAAGAAAACCTCTTTGAAATAAATTTTAACATTATCAAACCAGTCTAGTATTTTTTCAAGTAGATTTGTGGAAGAGAGTGAAGAAATCAAGTAATTCTCAAATAACATGTCAGTTTTCTCTAGCTAGTTATTTAAACCTGGCCATGACCACAGCTGCAGGCACTGGAAGATATTACTCATCTCATGATATATCAGTATTTTATAATTTATATTAAGATGGAAAAAAGTACTGCAATGGTGTTAAACACTTAAGAGTTTTTGGTTGTTTTTAAAAGACAGGAATTTTAAACAGCAACTGTCACAGCTTCTGGTTGTTTTCTGTATATCACACAGAATCATGAAACAGAAGTTATTTTAAATTTAAAACCTCACATGCAGAACAGAGTAATCAGCATGCCACACAATGATTTTATAAAACACAATCCTTACAAGCAAAAAATACAACTGTTACCGCTTTTCACTGTAATAATTGCAAGTGTCATAGAGATAAGTTAGTGTCACACGGCATAAGTAAACAAAACCACATATATATATTTTATGTAAATAATTAAATTTATAAAGAAAGAGGAGACAGACCCAAACATGGGAGGAAGGAACTGGTTTACTATATCCAAGGCTGCTATAATTTCTTTGATCATAGTAAATTCCACTCTGAGGGGTGAGGAAGGAAAGAAGAGAGAAAACAAAGGTTGCATCTGTAGATCTTGCAAGTAGAAGTTTTATCTTAACAGTACCCAAGCGTTCCCAAGCTTAGACCTTGTGCAGAATGCTGTAAAGTTTTCCCTAATGTTGACCCCAAATCCGTTTAGCTTTCTTATACAAGTAAATAATTAAAGCCTCAAAACTACTATGTACTTTGTATATCAGCATTAACTGTATTTCTAATGCCATGCTCAAACAGAATAGTACATAATTTTGGTATTTTTCCTCCATAATAAAATAAAAATTCCAAAAGCTTAAGAAGTGCAGCAAAAATACATGAAAAACATAACTGAAAAGACTTGCTAATAATTAGTACAATTATTTACTTAATCTTTTTTACATTAGATACCATTATGAATCAAAGCATTTTGGGGAGAGAAAAGGACAGAAATCCCTAATAATTGAATTGGGGCTGGACGTTTATGTGACACTAGCATAGCCTGTACCCTACCACTATTCTTTACATCAAGTACACATACTGAAAGTCTAGCAATTATATTTTGGCTTATTTCTGTTGGGTTTTGACTCTCTACAAAAACTGCATATATATGCACATGTAAGGCAAAAACTCATGCACACATACAAAAAAGAAAAACCAGACAGATAAAAACATGGCAAAAAGTAGTGACTGCAGAATAAAGCACTTCTTATCTTAATAAGCAACAGAAAGCAGAAATACTCATATTGTTCATTTGTTTAGGAACTAAGGGAACAGGAAAATACCCCTTCAAAAGCACGTGGAGAAATGCTGTAATACAATAATAAGTAAATACAAAATTACTTCAGCCTAGTCTCAACACAAGCATCCACTGCTGTTTTGACCCCTCCCCCATCCCCTAATGCAGTTGCTAATCCATCCGTACTGAAAACTGTCTGAAAAATTACATCCAAAATATTTCATTTATTGACACTATATTCACATGTTAAACACCAAACTTTCTGGAATAGTTTTTGCACAATCAAAATAATCCTCACGCCTTTTTCAGTAAGTCACTGCATTAACATAAAGGTCTATGGCAAATTCAATCTGCTGTACATCTACATTTAAAATGCTTCTAACTATCTGATAGAGGACAAGTGGGAGTAATAGAACATGTATCTCCATCCCAACTGAATAAACTTTAATCAAGAGAATTGCCACCTTTAAATAGTTCCAAGAGCCTTTTCCAGGCCTCTAAAAAACAAGATTTCTATTCAGCTGATTCCATTGATGGTATTGCAGTGATACAAAAACAGTTTCACACACAAATTGGAGGTCAGAATCTGATCAATATGAGGGGTTTTTTTTCCCTAAAAACATTTATGAAAATGTCAGGAAGCTAACAAATTTTATCCATGATGTTACATACTTAGTATATTTATAAGGAATATTATACTAGAAAACTATCCAATAAACCTTTATGGGAATAAAGAGCTTTCTCCTTTGAACTTTGAGATTAACTGTAAGCATGACTCTAAAAATGAAATTTAGAGAACTAATACCACTATATAACAGCATCTTCAATCTTAAAATATAAAGAAGACAGACATAAGGGTTTTATCACCTAAAGCAGAAATAACACAGAAAATTCTAACTACCTAATTGGAAAAACAGTGTGAAAGCCACGCTTCTATCACTGTGTTAAAAAAAAACTGGCAATTGAAACTATAATCAACTCTATCCTCATTAATATAGGCTTGGCTTAAAGCTAGTGCTCACATCTCACATAAGAATTTAAATCAATAAACAAACTAAAAAAGCTTAACAATACAGACAAATTTAAGCACTATATTGTGCTTGCCTATCTGCTAGCTAATTCAGATAACACTGCTATTTAAACAAATACAGCTTTTTAAGCCGCTTAAATATTCCTTTTGGTGGTACTTGTTGCTTGCCTCTTCTTAAGAAACACAGATTTTATGTGGCATAATACCACTGAGAATGTGATGCCATCTACTATCACTTCATAAAAATATGACAGATGTCTTTTAAGTAAAGATATACAAACTAGCTGCTTATTCTCTGGACTGAAATAACTTTCCATTAGATTACGTTAAAGTTTCTATGTGGTAATGTAGAATACAAATAGATGCATACACACTTTTTCCACCAAGGATGTCTTCCAAGTCTAATCTGTATGAGACTTCACTACAAAGTTTAGAAATAACAATACTAGAAAGTGCTTGCTGTAAGACAGGTGTCTTTTCTCCCTGAAAAAAATTACACATGCAGGCTACAGAAAGTGTTAGAACTGTATAACTATTCTACATCTGAACATATGAGAGTACAAATTTATATACTTTTTAAAGTATATAAAGAAGTTAAAGTCACTAGTTAGTATCATTACACCTTAGAAACAATGCACAAAAACAGTCTTCCCTCAAAGAGATGCAAAGCATTAACATACAGGGACCAAATATCTTGCAGTTCTATCCTTAGTGTTGTCATACTAAAGTAAAAGAAAATTAAATTAAGTGAAAGTCACAATGTTAAAAAAAAATTAAATTGCTTTTATTTCAAAGACTGAGTAAAAAGACTTACAAAAAAATTACAAGAAAACATATTCTACTAATAATGAAAATTTAAACATGAAGGAATATGCATTTATCCAGATCTGAACTGCTTTCTGAGGCTGGACCACTTAATAAAAATTAATCTTTTTCCCCAACAGCATCCCATTTTATGAAAACTGAGATAGTTTTGGACAGCACTACACTATGTGAACTATTTCATGTGATTTTAGTAATAGAATTTTAAATAGTTAAACCAAGTCTTACATGGTAGATTTCACTAAACTGAGACAACATTTACAAGGTTATGTAACAAAGGGCTCATCTCCACACAGGTAAAGGACTCAAAGGGAACATCTGCTCCACTGCTGAGCTGCGCAATTCACCATGATGCAATGACCTTCCATGGCACCTTACAGGCTCAGGAAGGTCACTGCCTATGGGGTACAGGGAATGAAAGACTTCACAGGAGGAAAGGGAAATAGTATTTTGTGATCAGGGAGGAATTAAAAGGAATAGAGGAATTAAGTGTTTTCAGGAGGAGCAAATGTGTGAAAAAGAAGGAACAGTGTGATGAAAGGGCCAGCTATGTGTAAAGAGAATGGGAATCTACCAGAGTTGGCAACTCTTAAGAATACAAATAAAAACAGCTTCGTAATAATAGTTTAGCAAGTGTCTCATGTTTCTTGCCACTCATTAACAGCAAAATTTGTGAAGTTTATGTTTCTTTTTTTCAACTTAGAAAACTTAAATTTTCACATCAGGCTTGTTTTTTTCCAATTCATTAAAAAATTTAACAGGTATTTTGAGTGTAGGTAATGTGCAATACAATATACAATTTAATATCAACCTAAGCCAACAGAAAAAAAAACCCTGACGGTAGTTTAAAAATATGACCTTATATAGTGGTAGCATGCTGGAGTATTGCCCAGTATAATTTCCAAAATGAGGACTAATGAGAGGATTTCAAGAAAAAATATTTTTGTCTATTGTTACATCTGAAAATTTCTTCTAGACATCAGATTAACACCAGAAATTCCCCAGATTTCAATTTTATATTTGTTTATAAGTTAATATAGCCAAGATTTAGTTAATATTAGTTTATACTGTATTAATATTATCTCAATAGTTCCAATACATCCAGTATTACCAATATATTAAATGATATTTTAATATTGTAGATGTAATTTATAGACTATGGTCCTTTTTGTGTTACTAAAAGTATTACCTACAGGACCCATAAGTCATTGGATCAGTTTTAATCAACTTAACTATTTATTCTTTCAAAACAATTTCTGTCTCTAATTACCACCTCCAATAAGCAACCTTGCTATCAGAGAATGAAGACAGATCACTCAGACACTTATCATCCCGACACTTAAACTGTTAATAGTCTAAAAAGGTATAACAGTCTACTAAAAAACATTTAACTTGCCTAAACTAGGAATACCACAAATATACAGAAATACCCATTACTGAAAAGGCAAAATTTCTGTATTTCAGCCTTGTCTGTTGTTCTAAAATCACAACATAAAAGAGAAAAATGTCTCCTGTTTTAACTTTTAATAACATCTTCGTACCTGTCAAGACTGATGGACAACCTTTTCCATTTCATTACTTCTCTACATGTGATTTTAGTAATAGAATTTTAACTATTCTATTAGTTAGGGGACATTGGGAGAGAGCAACTGAAGAGATTAATTCCCTTCACACCTGTAAGTGTTCTTTCTTTCAGCTCTCACATTTGCTATCACAAAGGACTTGATTACATCAATCATTGCAGCAATCCCATTAATACCGTGCTCTATAAGCATGCTTTCACCCAACTACTGCTTTGGTAAGTAGACATAGAAAATGTTACCATGTGAACACATCACATTAAGTAAAAAGCGTGCTCATTCCAAGTAACACACCACAAGAGCTCTCCTTTTGGAAGTACTTGCTCGGCTCCTGTGAGATGCACTGACATCTGAGGAACTCTTGAGAATGAAATTATAAAAATACATTAAGATATGAAATAAATTTTTAAATTTAATTCTACTACTCTTCACTGAATGACAGAAAATAACCAAGGCAGTCCAAGAAATTCTAAGTAAGCCCCCCAAAAATGAGCTTAGTTATCTGCCCAATTCAAACCCTCTTGTTTAGACAACAGCCAATTACTTAATTTCCCTCTTAGCATATTTGCTATGTCAGCCAAGACAAGAGCAGATCTGAGCAAATCTATATCAGCTCACAAGTTTCTAAGAGTTGCACATAGCGTATTTTACATCTTTTCTTGATAAAGCATTTACTGTTCAAAATTATTTGGTAAAAATACCTGTGTGGCAAATTGCAGAAATATTTAACACTATAACTTGCACAACATTACATAAAATTCAGTTAATCAGAAAATACATTTAATTGAAAAATCCTCTTAGCAAGTGACAATCACCTTTTTTTAAAGTCACACAAAGAAACAGCTCATTCCAACTTCCAAAATACATAAAACCAACCTTTTATTTTAGTAATTTGTCCCTTTCCTGGCCTGTATACCCAGATCAATGACCAGCTGATTTCTACGTAGATCCAAGACGAGGAAGATGTTACCATAATCTCAAAAAAACTGTTCTTTAGCAATATATATATGGCCTAAAGATGACATAAAAGAGTCTATACAAAAATATTTCTGTTAGCAGTCTTCAGGATACTTTACATCATTTGGCTAAATATTTTGCCATTAATGAATAATATATTCCCACCTTCTCCAAGAAAGAGAATCCTGCATCATACCAAACTCTTCTTCAAATTGTATCTTAAAGTACTGATACCTTTTCTTTCACAAATACTACAGACACACAGTAATACTCAAAGTGCAAGAAAAAACTAGAAGATTGAAACATAAAAATAAACTACCTTTTTAACACTGATGGACATAAACCACCAGATGAACTTAAACATTATATGTGACTTAAAATTACTAAAACTGCAAATAGTTATGCGACTTGAAGTGTCATCCTCTCCATTAGAAAAAGGAACCAGAACCCAAACCCTTTTTTCCTTTGGTTTGGTTTCTGAAGGCTGTGATCAAAAAGAAAAAGTATATAGTTTGAACACAAACCAAATGTGAATGTCGACTGGACTGGTGAGAGTATCTGGCTCTCTCTGCATCTTCCTGAGAAAGAAGAAATGCAGAGTTATTCAATAAGGAAGGAATAAAAACCCTGACACAATACCAGGAAGCCAAAGTGAGCAACATGCTTTTAGCACTTTTAATGCTATGTGTCATTTTGAATAATCAATCCATGGTGGCAAGTAAACTCACTCAAGTTAGAAGAACTCATTTCACCTGATTTGGGTAAGTATGCCAAGATATCACATTAGGTAATGTAAGTAAGGCGGTTAATATAATTAATAATTAGTGTTCAGTAGTCACTTAGTCTTTCTTAATATATTAATGCAGAAAAAACCCACAAAACTATTTAAATTAGGAAATAAAAGTAAAAACAGAGAGCTTTACAAAATTTCAAGTACACTATTAAGAAATGTACCATATAATTACCACATTGAGATTTTAAGTACTTTACAAAGTTATTTGAGGCCTAGGAGAAATTATTATTCTCAGTTGCTTCATATATCTTTTGCATTTTTTTTTCTCTATTAGAGAAACAAAGCTTAAGCAAATTGACCATTTTTAAGTTCTACAGCTAGTTTTGCTATACAGTGACAGTGAAAATAATAAACCAAACTCAAAATCTGAGTGATGACAACTAGCTAAGGCACCTTAATAGCTTTTTTTCTGTTTAAGGATGAGAGAACGTTCATTTTGCTTCACACAAGAGAATATGTGAAAGAAGCAAGACAAAAACCACAACTAATTTAAAATCAAAATATATTTCACATGCCATAAGCATTTCAAATTGTTACAGTATGAAAACATGTTAAGAATATCCTTAATTTTAAAACTATCCCATTTGGAGGCTACAACAGGGTTCGAAAAGTAGGAATTGCTCCTTAACTTACCTATTTCCTACAGTTTTCAATATATTGAACTATTCTGAAGATTGTAAGCCAGTTATTTATAGAATTAAAGGCTTTGTCTCCAGATCATAGATGTGTATCTAAAGACTAGATTTCTTCTTGCTTATGGTCACATGGTTATCATCTGCATTTTCACTGGATACATTAATGTGTTTAAAACTATTTTACAACTATTCAGTATTCAATAGGCCTATTTAAAACTCTGCCAGAGAATTGCCATGGGGGAAGCGTAGGTTCTTTTCATAATGATATTTTAGTCTTCCTCTCTATACTGTTTGTTTTGAGTTTTAAAACGAATGCTCAAGCTATTTAACTTTTCAACACAACACAGTTAGATCATTGCCAATTTTAAATACTCTTTGTATCTCTGCACAAGTATATCTTAGTAACATCTGCAGCAGGCAAGAAGAAAGTTTGCTACTTATATAAGATTCCTCTTAATTGCTGGGTAACAAGTCTCTTCCTGACATTCCATCAGAAAATAAAAAGCCTGTCTTAAATGTTCAGCATATTCAGGTCAAAGGATTATGCACTACACTACATACTGCAAACAGATAGGTGCCGCTGGTATCTCAAGCTTGATTTCTAAAAAGTTCAAGTTAGAATTATGCACGTTATCCAATACAGAGGTTACATCTCTCAACCCAGGAAAGGAGTGCACATCTGTTTAGAAATCTACTGCAGCAGATGTGCCTCTTAGGACTGCAAAAGGAAGGAGGCATTCAGCTGAGTGGCATCAATTTTGAGTGAGATTCCTCACAAATACTGTATTTTAAAAACCCTTGATCTCAAGCAAAAAAAAAACTTTCAAAGGTACATTCCACCAAGAAATACAGAAACTATGCTGATCTTGAGAACATGAGAACTAATGTTCTCAATTTGTTCATGAGAACAAATATCAGATAGGCAAAGAGACAATAATGAGTGAATACAACTTTGCAAATAAAATTCTAATGACAGTCTTAGGATTTTTCTACAGATATTAACTGCCATTGTAGTTTTAACTATTTTAAATGATGGCTAGTCTCAGCATGTATTACTTAAATCTTGGTGATTCAATAAATTCCCACAGTGAACACTTTCCTAAAAGCCAGAAAAACCCCTGACACCTCCCATATACCCTTTTAAGAAGCACATGAATTTTGTGAAAGGAACTTTGCAATTAAGTCAGTCTTACTCCAGTGCTAGGTAAAATCATGGAAAATCCTATTCTGGGAGGTACTAAAAAACACCTGGGGGAAACTCAGTCATTGGTCACAGCCATGATGACTTCATGAGGGGAAACTCCTGCTTGTTGAACCTCATTTTGTCATAGAACAGAGTAATCCATTTAAGTGACCTAGGAGAGATGGTAGATTGTATCTTTTTTGACTTCAGCAAAGCTTTTAATACTTTCTCTCACAGGATCCTTCAAGACAAAGTGGCCTGCACATAGCTGAATAACCATGTTATGTGATGAATGAGCAACTGGCTCACAGGTTGGGCACAAAGGGTTGTAGTGAATGGAGTGACAACAAACTGGCATCAGGTCACTGGTAGGGCTCCACAGGCTCATCTTAGGCCCAGGTCTCCTTATAAATGACTTGGATGCAGAACTCAAGGAATAGTAAGTTTGCCGATGACACCAAATTGGGAGGAGCTTGAGGGCAGGGAGGTCCCACAGCAAGACCTCAACAAATCAGAGAGATGGGCCACCACCAACCATAGTGTCTTGGTTTGAAACACAGGTGCCTACCAAGGAAGATAGGAACCTCCTATCTTCCACACTTCTCTTGTGTGAAGCAAAATGGAAAATGTGACCCCCTTCCCTCCAAATTATTATAACTTTGACATTACAGGGCTGTCAGGCAAAGATATGGGAAAAAGAATAACAGTTCTTTACTAGTGTGTGTGCATATATATATATATATATATATATATATATATATATATACAAACATATATATATATATACAAACATATATATATATATACATATACACACATTAAATGAGGTAAACAAACACCAACAACAGTGGGAGCAACAACAGAACCAGTAACGGCCTTCTCCCGGCTGTGGCACTTTCCCCTTTGGTGCAGTTACGGTCACAGCCGGCAGGGGCGCTGTTGGTTCCCGGCAGGGCAGGTGCGATGAGTCCCCCAGAGCTGCAGGGAGTGCTGTGGGGTGAACCCAGCTGCCTCTCTCCAGGTGGGTAACGGTGGCACAGCCAGCAGGAGAGATAGAAACGGGCTTCCTTTACAAACTCATAGGAGGCAGCTGGTCCTCATGCCCCTCTGGATGATAAAACAGATGGCAGTAGGAACCTTGAAGCAGTAGGCTGGAAGGCAAGCATACCTGGGGTGGTAAAGAGTGTAGCAAAACTCCAGAGCCATGCCAGGAGCTGCAGGGTATGCCAGCCGGGAGGCAGGGGCAGGGAATATCGGGTTAAAGTGTAGTAAAAAACCAGAAGCAGCAGCAGAAAACAGCAGCACTGGCCAGCAGCAGATGGCTTTCTGCAAGCACCCAAGAGACATTCCCTCCAGAAGGGGGAGAGGGTCAGGGTCCCGGGTTTTCCCCTGCAGCACTCGAGTAGATGATGAGGGTCCCTTCCAGTGAGATTAGATATTGAAAAGGTCCCGGTTCAACAGCTGCTCTTACTAGCAAAGGCTCACCTGTGGTAAGGAAAAGCAGTGCACAACATAACTCTGCACTGGCAGCCCAACTGTCTATACTCCAAGAGTGAGAGAGGGCAAGGGACAAGGCCAGCCCCTCACCCATCAGCCAAACTCTCATATTATCTCTGCTCTTCACAAAAGAAAGCACCCCAGCTAAGACACTGCAGCCAGCTGCACCCCTTCCCCCCATCTTGGACACATCCTTAGTTTCTCTCAAGTATCCATTGTTCTGGTCTCTTAGGCAACAAATGGGAGAGAAATTCCCTAAGAAAAAAAACATTGAACAAATCCTAACCTCCAACACATACAAAGTTTAACAAGGGCAATTGCCGGATTCTGCACTTGGGATAGGTCAACCCAGGACATACAGACAGACTAGGGAACAAGACACTGGAGAGCAGCACCACGGGGTCCTGACTGATGGCAAGTTGAATATGAGTCAGCAGTGCCCGCACAGACAGGAGGGCCTCCTATTGTGTCCTGGGTACATCAGGCACCGCATCACCAGCTGAGCAAGGGAAGGGATTGTTCCACTCTGCTCTGCTGCAGCCTCGAGTCCTGTGTGCAGTTTTGGGTGCACAACATAAGATACAAAACTATTAGAGAACCCCCCCAAAAAGGGCAACCAAGATAGTGAAGGGGCTTAAGGGGAAGCTGAACAAGGAGCAGCTGAGGTCACCCTGTCTGTTCAGCCTGGAGGAGACTGAGAGGAGTCCTCATTGCAGTACTGAGCACTCTCACAAGGGGAAGTAGAGAAGCAGGGACTGATCTCTTCTGTGGTGACCAGTGATAGCTCCCAAGGGAACAGTCAGTCAGGGGAGGGTTGGACTATGTACATATATAATTGAACTGCATACATATATAGTTTATATGTGTGTATATGTACTTTTTTATACATAATTAGACACTTTGAAATAACACACAGCAAACCATTAGTAAATTGCTTCCTCCAAAATCCTGTGTTAGTTCTCTGAGTGGCCAAAACATGCACAACAGGTGATTTTAGCCTACCATCCATTTCTGGATATGAGCCCATTTTCTATCATATAAATGCTGAGAAAACTACAGGATGGAAAAAGAAAACCAAACAAAAAGTTTCAAATATAAATTAGAGTCACCACACAAGACTGGATTCCTGAATTGAAAACTCAGAAAGATCTACATTAATTACCATGTAATCATCAAAATAATAGCAGACATCTATAATTCAAAAACTCAAACTGTGGTACAATGAGAATCATATAAAATAGAGGTAAAAAATGTTCTGCATATTTCACTTATTACACAGGAAAAAACCCCACAACCACCAAGTATGAGCAGTACATGAATTTGAGTACAATCATGATAAATAATAAATTCTTAATGTTTTACATGTAAATTCTTAATGTTTTACGTGCAATGTCAAAACCTGAATTAAATGCAACAACTATGCAATAACCAGACTGCTGAAAACCTAGTTTCTAGGATTTTTTTTCTCAAGAAATGCAAACTTTTTCTAGGAGAAATGTGTGGAGCAACACACAACTGTATGTGTAAATATTACCCAATTTAAATTCTTTTCTTAAAAGAAATATCTTGACAACAGTTATTTACCGTGAATCCTTTTAGTATAATCCAATCCTAATGCTGAAAATACTTGTACAAAACTGAATTACACTAAAAGACAAAATCTTATGGAAATGCAAAAATAAAATACGAATTTTTGTAAAGGTCTGCAATAATCCCTGGTGAATTACACTACCTCTTTTTGCTGTCGCTCCAGCTCTCTCATACGTATATCTCTTGCTTCTGCTCGAGCTGCCCGTTTTGCTGCAAGTCTGGCTTCTGCCTACAAGGAGATGGAAAATAATTAAAGTTTAAAAAAAGTTTTTGAATAATGGTTTGAGTACTCAAATCTCTTCACAAATACACATTAAGATTTTAACATCATAATACGAAAGTAATCAATAATGAAATTTCAAAAATAATATGCACCTAAACTCTTCAAAGATAGCATTACTAGTCGAAAGAATTAGATGATCATTAAAAAAGTCACAGAATGGCTTGGGTGTGAAGAGATCATAAAGATCATCTACTTCCAATGCCCAGATCAGGTGCCATCAACTAAAGCAGGCTGCTCAGTGCTCCATCCAACCTGGCCTTGAACAGTTCCAGGGATGGGACATCCACAACTTCTCTGGCCAATCTGTTCCAGTGGCCAGGAACTCACCAATTCCCTAGTAAGAATTTCCTCCTAACATCTAATCTAAATTTACTCTCTTTAGTTTAAAACCATACATTCCCCTATGTCCTAATGCTATCTGCCTGTGTAAAAAAAACTTACTCTCCCTGTTTTTCATAAGCCTGTTTCAGGTAATGGAAGGTTACAGTGAAGTCTCCCCAAATACATCTCTTCTCCAGGCTGAACAACCCCAGCTCTCTCAGCCTGTCTTTATAGGTGAGGTGCTCCAGTCCTCTGAGCATCTTTGTTGCCATCAACAACAACTTCTCCCAGTCTGGACTCGCATCTGAGATTGCCCTGACTGACATGCAGTATATTGTATTTGGACTTGTTGAACTTCAAGAGGTTCTCATGGGCCCAAATTTGTCCATGTGGCTCTGGATGGGATCCCATCCTTCAGTTGTGCCAACTGAACCACTGCTTCACAGATCTGCAAACTTGCTGAGGGTACACTCAATCCCACTAACAGTGTCATTGATAAAGGTATTAAACAGCCCTGGGAATATGAGGGAATAAATTCTGCCATATAGCTCAAGTTTGAAGAAAGCACAAGCTCGGTTTTTTCATGTTTGAATAGTGAGCTGACAAAAATTCTCTCAAATTCTTTAAATATTAAACCACTGAAGACAGGTTTTCCACCAAGGATTCCAGCTGTCTATGTAATGTTAATTAAAAGCCTTTTGAGAATCAGCAGCAGCTAAAAATTCTGAACTCCTAACAAACAACCAATTATAGAAGTTCTTAAAATGTAAAATCCAATAGATTTTTGCTTTTGATTAAGGATAGAGTTTTCCTTGCTTTTGCCACTGTCACAGCAAATGTTTATGTAAAGCACTGGAAGCCTATAAAGCTGTTTTACTGTGCTTCAGGAAAATGAAACAGGTATATAACTTGGGAGGTTAACTTCAAATTATGATTAGACTACAAGCTAAAAATATCAAATAATGACAAGATAGAAGGCTGACGCACTACAGCTTTATTACTCAAAACAGTTTGTCTTAACTCCAAGTGACTCATGAAGACTATTTTTTCTGAATTTTGCATATGCAGATAAAACAATCCGAGGCTGTGTCAACACTCCTGACTGCCATAATGCAATCTTTTTTCAAAGCAGCTTAAAGCTACTTTTCTTTCTACCTGATGATAACACCACAGTAAAGCAAGAAAATTGCCATGCAAGAGAAGTACTTCCATTTGTAGCCCGTTATTGCTTTGTCTTATATAAACTGTCACACTGACAGGTATGGAGCACAGAAAGAAAAAGGACTCAAAAAGCTGCTAAGTTTGGGTTTAGCTTTGTCTATACAATTGCAGATACATGCATTTGGCCTTCATGCTCTGGCAAGGTTTTACTGTTAAGTTACAAATTTAATACAAAGATAATACTGTTAAGATACAAAGTTAATTGGTTTACTGATTCATGTTAAAAATCAATTCACATTTCACCACTCTCCCCTAGTCGTACACCCAGAGACCTAACTTTAAATGCCGACAGTAAAAGGGAAGCTCCATTTCTTATCATTTACTAAACTCTTGATAAAATACAAGAGAATTTACAGGTATTTGTCATAAAATGGGTGGCAGAAATTGAAGACAAAGAAAATCTTATCTTTTTAGATTTTTTTTTAAGAAATGGCTTAATATTACATTAATTTTTAACCTGAGCAACCAGATTCCTGTAAAAAGCCCACAATCTCAAAAAAGACAAAAACCTCGGCAAATTAACTCAAAGGACAGCTCTCAGGCTTCCTTCACTATACTTCAGAGCAAGAGACAAGTTGCAGTACCATTAGAAAGGCCATGATACCAAATAATTCCTAATTCTCAGCAGATCTGTTAAAGCACAGGCTTCATTCTCTTGACAAAGCAGTCACACAAGTCTTCATAGCTACATTATTGAAATTCAAAATTAACAATAATAGAGAAACAACCATAATTCAAAAGGACACAGTTTTCTTCCTGGGTGCTGCTATTCACTCTGTTGCCTTACTGAAAAAGCCCATGAAAGTTGTGAAACAAATCACCACCAACAAATCCTTAACAAAAAATTTCATCTGCTCCATTGAAATAAAGTCTTTAAATACCTGCTAAGGAAAATGTAGAGCCACAATAGCTGGACTATAGGAGCAGAACGGAAATACTAGACTACTTGTTTGGGTTTTTTTTTTTTTTTTTAATAAAACAGCAAAAGTAGAGGGAGTCATGTTATCATGCTTTTCAATTGAACTACTATTTGACTTCAGAGAGCATACCAAATACATCCCTATTCGTTGCTCATTGCAGCTTGGGAGCCAATACAGATTGCTTTCTACAGCCTGCATTAAACAAAGTCCAGTCTTAGAAAAGGATAGACTGTCCACTACAGCCTTGATTTCAGTTTCACTGGTCATTATTCTCTATACAGTCTTTAGACCAGACACACATTAATAAAATATGATAAATATCCATTGTAATATTATCTAATTGAAGCACTGCTTATTATAAACTGATACAACATACCAAGTTTCTATTTTTCTGAAGTAAAAATTCAACTGTGTATTGTCCAAGATCTAGCAACTCTGACACTATTTCAGAAGCTTCCTAAGGGAACTTTCAACTGATAAAAAGAAATGGGATAGCTGAATTTTCTTGAAGAAATAAGATATGAGGTATTTAAACCTGGTGCACTTACACTAGTGGCTTAAATGGAAAGAATGTTATAAAATCTGGAGGGAAAACAAAAATTAGGTAAAGATACAATAATTCAGCATGGAATTTATTCAGAGAATTGATCACAAAAGGATATAGAAGACTACAGAAGAAATCTTTGTAACAAAAGAAATTGGGTAGGAAAACCAAAAAGGAAAAAGTCCTTGAGAATTTACTTGGATAAGAAAAAAGGACTAATTAATAAATTATTAATTTATAACTAAATCTCTAAATTTTTTTGTATATGAACACACTCATACTATTCATATTTATCTTCTACTCTGGGACAAATTTGTGTTTTTAAAGCAATCCTGTATTTCTTTGGGTATTAGCTCTGGTCTAAGTAACAAAACAAAGCAATCTGTTCACCACTGAGTTCTGGAATTCCTCATTTCAAAACAGATACCTAAAACTATTACTTGAACAAAAAAAAACCCCAGTGTTTCCTTGTAACTGCATAAAAAGCATTTCATTCTAGAAGATTATTATCCTGGCTGTTTTCAAGCAGTTAAGCAGTACCTTACAGCAGTATTCACTTTGATTGGTTTATTTTATTGCATATATTTAGTAAATACAGAGGTAGCAAGACAATGTTCTTCTTCCAGGAGGAGACAGTTTCCTGATTTTCACCTAAAACCGAGTTATTATAAGCTATTTATAGTCATTTAGAAAACCATCTCTACTTCTTCAATTTTTTCATATTTGTTTTTAAATACGTATTCTACCACAATCTTTGGAAAACTTAGCTGAACTTTCAAAGATAGCACGTAGTTCTTCAGTTATATCAAAAATAATTTTGGCAAGAAAGGAAGAAGAAAAGAAAGACAAGACTTTAACCTGGAATGTCTTTGTAAAGATTGAGTCAGGAGTCGCTCCTTTCTGATGTATTTTTCTTAGTCTCTTCATAGTAACAACCATGTTTTTTCCCAGGTAAGCAGTATAAAATTAACACAGAATTTATATGGTAGAGGCTTCCCTCCATGTTGAGCAAGGAGAAGCATAATATGTATCTCCATAGTGTAGATAGGCATCTTTTTCCTTCCCTTGCCTGCAAGAAGGAATTCACTAGAAAGCAACAGTATTTTATTTTTAATTTTTATATTCTGGAGAAGGTGATTCTTTAATTAGCTCAGATTCAGCTTAAAGCTTCATAAGGTTAAAATATAGGCTATCTTAAAATGTTATTCACCTCTGAAAAAATTTGAATTATTTTGTCATCATGGGCCGATGTATACATATTACATAGAACTCGTATCTCTCTCTGCCAAGGGATATGCAGTCCTGCAGTTTCCAACGCAGGAAGGCCGGTTAAGGAGCATTTTACTTCCTCCACTGGATGGCAGCAGTAAAGGAACTGACTGCCCCTGCTGCGGGACCCGCTGCTCCCTGTCTGCCACGGGTCCGTGGAACGGCACTAGGACACCCCGCCAGCTCTGCTCAGCATCAGGGTGAGCATGTTAAAAATGTTCACTGTAATTCTTAAAAGACAACTACATAGAGCAACTTAATTTCACCTTTTCTCATCAAGCAAACAGAGGATTCTGTGCCCAATTCCAACCCCCCCATGGCACAGGGGTTGGTATTGGATGATCTGTAAGGTCCCTTTCAATTCGAACTTTTAGCTTAACTATGATTCCTTCTGCTGCTCAATTTTTCTGTATTCTGATTCCCATGCTTTTTGCCCTTATATCCATACCATCTCATGAAATCAAGGCAATCACTTATGTGCCAAAAGTATTTCTTATGGCTCCTCAGAAATCTCTTTTCCACTTCTCATTTCTCTGCCCCAGTCGCCTACAAACAACAAAATCTTAGGTTTTTAACATGACTTAAAGTTTTAAGAGTCTTTGTTTTTGATGTCTCATTCTTTTTCCATTTATTGTACAGATTCACATATATATTATAAAATCTCTAGAATATATTATATCCTGTAAAATATCCTTAACCACTTTTAAAAACAAAAGCAAACAAGGCTTTGAATTAATACTAAGGTAGAAACAGCCAATTGAAAAATATTTAGTGGCCTCTTACCAAAACAAAATTAAAAAATCACCTAGCATCTACAAAGACAATATCCATGAGGATGGAATTCTTTGGGACTTTGCTTGTTTTCTTAACAGAAGCTGAACAGACATGAAGAGAAAAGCATGTACAAAACTTTAAATAGATTCATATGAAAAAGACTGTTGTTAACTGCTTCTAAATTCATGATATAGCCCTCAAACATTTAAAAATATTCAACTCAGCTTTTTCTATCATGGCAATTCAGCAACATTACATCTCTATCAAAGTAAGAACAACTGCACTCTACTCACAGTTGAGCTACTACAAAGTCAATTTCAAATCAAAATTAATCTTTATTCTCTACCATGAGAAAACACCTTAAGAGTTTTCCACGCTCTTGCTATATAGTGAAAATAGTCATGAGAACAATTCCTGAGAAAAAACCCACCAAACCAAAACACAGAGACAACATTCTACAAGGCAGAAACCTAGTGAACACTGTTGCAATGTTGCTTGTCCACAACCTCTAGTTCTCTGTCACCTAGTTACACAGCCCTGAAGAATGGAAGAGCTGTTGATGGTAACACTCAAAAAAAGGTTATGAATGGTAAATCCTGATTGTTCCTTCAAACTCCTGCTTAGCAGGTTGAGGATAGTGAGATGATATGTGTCAGACTCTTATCACTCTCTGCCACGATATTCACTGTATCTGAGCATGAACCACAGGCAATGCAAGAACACAGAAGTGACTGTGAAACCTCTGTTCTCACATAATCAAACTGGTTTTGGAAAAAGAGGTCTCATGTAATCCTAAAAGATGGTGATGACAGGTTACTGCTAAATATTTAAAATGAACAATTTGTCTGAAAATACAGACAAGTGAAGCAGTGATGCACAACTCAGCCAATGATATTCCGTCCGCAAAAGAATCTAACAAGGGGAGAATCCCCACAAGAAACACACAGGGAAAACATCTTGAGATCATATCAGCTGTATTCAATATAGACTGTGAACACAAAACCTTGAGAATATAAATCTCAATTTTCATTCATATAGTAACGTGGGAATTTTCAAGCAGTTAAGTCTTTTTGTTTAACAAATGAGACTATAACTTTGCCAGGAGCCTGAAGTGACGCTAGACAATCATTACCTGTACTTTGGGAAGCTCAAACTTTGCACAAGATAGATGAAACTATCTTCTACACCAGGTGACTTTGTCAATCTTAGAAAGCTAACAGTTTCAGAACCCATTACAAAAGCTAGAGAAAGAACCAAAAGGTCACATAAAAAAACTCTGTATTTTCAGGAGATAGTCTTTTTTATTTCTTTTAAGTGATAAGCTGACTTCTAATTAACCTTGCTATAATTAGAATACACTCATCTACTCCATTTTAATGTAGTTAGGTGCTTTTAAAACCACAGTTCTGTTATCTCCTTGCAGGAAACACATGGACAATATATCTACACCTGCTCCTGCAGCTTTTGAAAAAAGCATGTGTGTTTTGTCTCTTTACATTATCAGTAGGAAAGAAAGTGTTAGGGAGGGGGGAAGAAGTGTTCTGAAGGTTCTTATTATTCGTTTAGTTTCTGTTAATATAAGTTTTCTTTATACCCTTTTAAAGTTTTGAGCCTGCTTTGCTTTCCTCTTAATCCTATCTCACAAGGAAATAAGCATATTCTAGTAAGTGCACTGGCGTTTAGCCAGCACTGAACCCACTACATTAATCAGTGCGTTGACTGAGAAATCTCAAATTTGGCGAACAAAAACCACCACACAAAATTGGTGTTCAAACTAAAACCACCACAGCCTGACAGACTGTTGTACCAGGATAAGACTGCCAAACTGATCAACTGCGAGCAATCTCACTTCAGACACTGTGAAATAGGGAAAGTGCATTGCTTCCAGGAAAGGATGCACAGATAGATCCCTGTCCCTGGATCACCTTTACTCTTCCTCAGTTCCAGTGAGCAAGGAAATTCAATATCAGGAAAAATTACACACCATAGAATAAAAAGTAGGTCCCTAAGAAAGAGGTTTAGTAACTCAAAAGTTCTTGGAATAAGGCAGACATTCACTCTAGTGTTGATGTTTTAGCATATTTGTGCATAACACAGATGTTGTGCATTGAGACGCTTGTCTCAATGCACAGTCCCACACCAAGGAAAATATGTGACTGAGAACATAACTTTCTGAAAAGTTACCAACCAATTTTTTCTTTTTAATGACAAGGCGTATATTTTGCCTACAGTCTATGATAGATACACTTGAAAATACCTAAATAAGCTTTCTCTTCAGAGACCTATCACCTCCCTACATTGCCTTACATACACATATACAGACAACTATTTACACTACAAAGCCTATTAGAATCTGCATTTTGCACTCCTATATGTTAACTAGGGCAAGCAGCTTTGTAGATAATGTAGCTCCAAAGAACCTGAATTCACTTGTATACAAACAGTATTAAGACTTTTGTTCCCTAGTCACAGCATCTCCACCTAGAAAAACTCTGGTCCAAACAGACATCTCTAAGACTTCAAATTCCAACTGCCAAAATCCCATGGGACAAAATTCCCCTTTGTATCAACTTTTTCTTAATTGCACTTTTTGCTGGTTATCTCCAGCCCTCTTTTTTGGGGTGGTGGAATTCCTGGTACAGTGTACATATTAGGCTTATTTAGAAAAAACTAGACTTCTCACATTTGAAATAGATACTATTACAAACATATTTTAATAGCGACTACTACCCATTCAATACTAATACACTATACTTACCATCTTAAGAATAATACACACTGTAACAGGATAAATGTGTATGTTTTTTAGTTTTGCACTTGAAATAGCAGCTATATTTTTCATTTATCTTTAAGCATGTAAGTATCTGTAGAAATAGCTGCTAGGCTTAAGTGTAAATCCATAAGGTTACATTAGTCATACAGTTAATATCTCACTATGCTGACATTTCAGTTAACGTGATTTTTTTGATCAATAATTCTCTTAGCTTATATTAATTGTCATATTTTTGGCTAATTACACTTTTTTATGCACATCTGTAAAAAAATTAACTTTTCCTAGATAATGAGTTTACTTTCATCCCTATTTCTGAATTCAAGACACTTTACAATGAGCAAACCTCTCTGGCAATGTTGCTTAGAGCTTCATCTTCTGCAGAAAATCTGTCTTTCACTGGAGTTCTCTTCCGTCCTGATCCAGGAGTTCCCATTTTTATTCTCTGAATCTGTATTTGAAAACACAGATAGAACAAAGCTCAGTTTTAATTAATATCAAATTAAAATTAAAAACAATCAACCAACCTACACGCCAAAATGTCCTAAGTTTTCCAGTCTTTAGCTACGTAATACTCAAGACATCAATATGCAATTGGCATGTAATGGCCACACATAAGCTTGTGGCAGCATTACAGAACACCGCTGCATCCTTCAAGGTGCACATAGAGAATTTTTCTACTGAACAGAACCCATGAGTTTACCTACAGCTTCAAAGTCAGGCACAACTGTAAACTGCTCCTGTCTCAAAAAGAATGCCTCTGTTCTCTGTCAATTTATGTAACTCCTGAAATGACATATCCATTTAATTAACAGATGTTGGAAAAAAAACCACTATAGACAAAGTGTTCAAGAATTAAATTTGCATGATCATTAGAGGTCTCCTCAACACAGAAAAGACTCGGAAGAAAAACTTTACTAAGCATCCAAGTAGGTAGATGTGACTTACTTACATTTTAATACAGCTGTTCTCATGCAACTGAGCTGCTGTCTTCTAAAGCAAAAGTTTTACTATAGCAGAAATAGACACCTTTACACAAAAAAACCCTCTCTTTTACTTAAAAAGATTCTCAAACTGGAAATGAAGAGAGAAATATACTACCCTCATATACTCTTACTTTTCCTCCAGAAATCTCTTATGAATTGCAAGCATATAAAAATGACCAACAAAGCAAAACAAAACATAGCCCATATAGACACGATCAAAAAATGTTACACCAAAAAAAAAACCTCAAAAAACACAACTACATAAGTTTTTTCAAATATCCTAAAGAAATCCTACTTCCAGACATCCAGATCCTCTCAAATGTAAGACTAGAATTTGCTGGATTTGGTGGTAGTCCAGCTATATGACAAGGCAAGTATCCTACACAGGGTTTGAGAAAACACCTTAGTTATAATAAACAACTTCTATTTGCAGGAAGAAGAGATCTAAAAGGTATCTAGTATTGGCTATCCTTTTGAAACTGAACTGGTACAATAACTGCCTTTCTTACTGGATCTAACTAGCAAAGACTCAGTAATTGATTATAGTTTAGTCAAAAAGAAAGGAGGAAAAAAACCACAAAGTGATAGCTATTTTTGTACAAGCAGAGTTTTTACTTTATTACTTTTACACAGCAATCACAAAGCCAAAATATATTGGGGTATTTTCTGACACTGAAAGACACCAAGTAGCATCACAGGCCTTTTTTTTTCTCTTATATTTTAGCTTCTACACCTTTTCATCACCCTTCCTTTAATAACTTTATATTATTACTGCTTTCTTTTCCTTGCAAGCAATAAGATTTTTTTACTCTGCTTCAAATTTTACAGGTATTTTACTGTTCTTCATCTGCTCAATATTGTCACTGCTATTTCATTTGGTAAGAGTCTGTATATTTAGTCTTAAAAATAAGCAAGTAAACTTATGTCTTGTATTCAAGTAAATTTAGACAAATATAGGCACAAACAGTTTGGAGATCTCGGTGGCAAAGGTTTAAGCTCAGAACTACAAGTTGCTGCCCACATTCTGAATGTCTCAAAAAATCAGCCTCTTTTTTCAGTAATTCTTATTGGCTGATTTCACATATTAAAAGCAGACAGGGCGCAAACTAAAAGTTACATGGACACAAAATAATACCACCCATACTACAGAAGGCCTTAACAATGTTATACACTAGCCACAAGAAAAATCATTAAATGTTTATTACAATAAACAGGTTCATGTAAGAACAGAAATCCAATCTATCTACTAGAAGTCACTAAGAATAAAATTATTTTAATTGACACATTAAAGGCCATATTTCTTTAAAAAGTATTTACCATGTTAGAAAGAACTGCAGAGTAACTGCACATACCATAGACTTGAACTACATTTCTTGACATCATCTAAACAACATACCATTTTTAATAGACAACAAACTTTGGTTTGTTAACTCAGTGAAATGCTCTCAGCTGGCAGACTGATTTGGGGAATGTAATGGTTTCTAGCTAAAATACAGCTAATTTTAGTATAGTTACATTCAGTTTACAGGAAGTACTAATTTACAGAGTAGTAATTTCATAAAAATTAGATACTGATGCTTTAAATGGGGAAAACCACTACATCTCAGTTGCTGTGGAGGAAAGCAAGTGTGGCATCCCTGCCAGCAATCTACCACGCTTCTCACCTAGAACAAGCACAGAACTCCTGACTGAGCCCAAACACAAGACGGGACACGACAGATTATTACTCAGAAGGTATACAGAGATGTTGTCTTTGCCTGCAAAAAGGAATTAAGAAAATCAAAGCTCAGGTGAAGCCAAAACTAGCAAAGGCTGATAAGGACAAAGAGAAAGACTATTCTAAGGACATTGGGAACACAAGAATGACTAAGAAAACGTTAGGGCCACTGTTTAGTGACACAGGTGAGAGTGGTGGGTGCTTGCCAAGCCCCACCCTTTGAAAGAACAGTCTGGATAATAACAAAGGTGAAGATGGGAATCTGTGTGCGTGAATCAAATAAGCAAAACTGTCTGACAGGGTACAGGCCCAAACCTGGTCATGTTACAAGAGAGCAAGAGGCTTGTCAGTTACATTAAACAGAAACTAGGAAATCAGACAGAAGCACTTGTTTGAAGTAAAGGAGTCCTCTTGAAAATAAAACCCAAATCAACAGTGACAGTAGCAGTAACTTTGAAGGGATAACAGCATCAGTCAAACCCTAGTTTGATGCTGCCAGAAATCACCCCACTGATTGCATGATATCTGCCCAAGCTAAACCAATACAGCATCCCTCCTAGTGGATGCAAGATCCTGCACTCCAGCTAGCAGGTGGTCAGTACAGGGAGGGTCAGTACACACCTTAAGTGTGCAAATGTGAGCTTGTTAGGTATGGTCTCACTGGCATATGCATTGGGACATATTAGAGAACAGCACAGATACACACAAACCTAGAGTGTCCACATCTCCAGCAGAAATCATGTGCAAACAGGAGACGCTAGAGTTGAAAAACAGAACAGTTAAACACCAGCCTAGAGAGGCTGTGGAATATCCATCCCTGAAGATGGTAAAAACTTAACTAGACAAGGCTCTGAAAAACCTTTTCTAATTGACAATACTTTGGGCAAAGGATGACCTCCAAAGAATCTTCCTAAAATAAAATATATGGATCTACATTTATTATTGTTCGCAATTTTGAAACTACACCTCAATATAAGTTTTCTTTAATTAGATGTTTTAATATTTCTTCAAAGGTCTTGTCACAATTTCTTCCATTCCATTTTACTTTTAATTTGCCTGATGTATGTCAGAGTATTTAATTTCTTGTTATTAAGTTCGGTACTACAGAAACCTAGATATATTGCTAATATGCTAATGAGTCTAATACTATAAATATCATTCTGTTACTTCTCAGGAAAATATAGGATATCAATACTTTACATACATGCAGAAATACTTTTGAGATGTTTCACTTCAATAACTTTCTGATTACACAAAAAGTTCTTTTCCTGCATGGGATAAAGAATTTTGCTGCAGCATGGGATAAAGAATTTAATACACGCTGTCACATTAGAATTTTCATAAAAATAACTAAAAAGAACACCAAAACAAAATCAGACAAAGAGCAGTTTGCTATTGTCTTTTATGGTTTAGAAAGATAAATACAAAAGGAAGGAACACTATAATATCTGCTGCATTTACAGTTAAAAATCCCTGAGGCACGTCTATTACATGCCTAGTTCTAATAGGCATGGTAACACATCGTATTACACAACCGATGAAGTGACATCCTGTTGCATTTCATTCCAAAACACGGAAGTGTCTGAAGTCTCCAAACAAAACGGAAGACCTGAGATGAAATACTTCAAATGCCCTCTCATTTGTCTTCACTTCAGGCATATATACATTTTATCTCTTCCACAAGTCCTTGCTGTCTAGTCTTCTTCATTTTACCCTCCGACTAAAGGTTCTCCTTTCTTTTTTGCTTCCTAGAAAAAGGTCTGATTTGTCTTAGAGGAAAAAAAAAATAAGCTACGCTACAAGTTCAGGGCCTATCACTCACTATCTCCAATGGCACCACCTGTTCTAAATGCCTGGGTCGTATGCCAGCATACTTGGCATTACATACATAGGATCCAGATATCTTAGTGTGAACAGGCTATAAATAACAGACCAAAACTCCCCTTTTCTCTTTCAAACAAGACTACAAGATCACTAAAATTCACCTGTGTAGACAACATCTCTGTAAAATTGATTCAACAACAGAGAAGAATGGTACTGCTCTAGAACTAATGTCTTTTAGAAACAGAATCTGAATGCAAAAGTATTAGTACTACAACAGTTGCATTCATAATTGAGAAGGAGCATAATCATATTGGAAACCACAATCTTGTTTATTTGATCTTCAACCTTTGTCCAAGCAAACTTCAAAAGATACAAAGCAAATAGGCACAGAAAAATTTTAAATTATGCAAGACAGACACAAGAGTCTTCTTCAGAAGAAAGACCCCATACAAGGGTACTCTCTTTGCAATTAATGTTTGCTCACAGGTCCAAAACCACTCATGCAAGAAAAAGGGTTGCATGATCACAGGGTGACCATGATCCAACAAAGGGGCATGTAGGAAGAGAGACAAATACATTAGGTTTTAATGTACTGAGAAAGAAATAGACTGAGTTTTAAAGCAATCATTTTAAGGACTCATTTGGAATTTTCATTCCAAATAACCTTGTTCAGAATATTAACTGAAACAAGAACTATTACCAAAAAAGAGCTGCTACTATGAGTGAAAGAGGCTAACATTAAAGGGAAAATGCAAAGACTGAGAAAAGCATATAATTACAATCTGCCAAAAGATTACACTGCTTACCACTATATTGGAGAAAAGTTATTCCAGCTGATGAATAGTGTTTCTGTTTTAAGAAGCTGTTCATCTCTAATCATGGCCCACTTCAAAAACTGTTAGCACAAAGTTTCTGCTCTGAGTGGACAAGCTTATGTCAGCTTTTTCAGGAAAAAAAACTACTCTTTAGACAACTGCACGATCCACCCCCTTAATGCAGTATATTTACAGTTCACTTGCCGTTTTAAAATCTGAGAAATACAATTTCTTATGAGTTCATGGAATTTAGCAATTGAATTGTAATTCCTTAGAGGGAGTTGAGATCCCTCAGTTTGTTGGTGTCATGAAGTTAGAGACCAACAGAAAGTCCCCAGTTAAAACAATTAAAAAGCCATTATGCAGCTTACAAGAGTCTGCAAGTGCCTGATGAATCCATGAAATGTCCCAGTGCCTATCATTGACTGTCTTGCAATGCTTTACGTGTGCCAATGTACTAAAGGCATCCTACAGCCCTGTAGAACTATGAGACACCTCCAGACCTACCAAGCTATCTTTGGTGACCTTCACCAGTCTTTGCAAATTACCAAAATTCCAAAACAGCGCCTTGCAATTTCAAGTAGCGACAACTTGTTTTATGATGTATGAGTTCTCTGCCAGTCAGTTGCCAACAGCTGCAACTGTAGATACCATTACTGCAAAAAGTACATTACATACACAAAATCATCAGTTACAGGCAGCATCTGGAAAGCTCTTATAATGGTGACTCACCAGAGGATCTCTAGGGGCACAGTATAAAGCATATATAACTTTCAGAAAAGCAATGTAACAGGGACTGACTTTTCTAGAATCAGTGCTACTATAAACGCTAGAGATCCAGGAATAAACTAAGAATTCAAATGGAACTTTAAAACATAAGGGGATAACAGTACTAAAATGAGCACTATAAAAAATTATGAAAATGCATAATAAAAAAACCCGACAAGGATCTTTCAGAAGTGTTTACTCTAAAATGAAGCAACCATCATTTTTACACTGTCAGCTTTTTCAAAATGAGTAGCCTTTCTGTCATTTTGGAAAAGAATGATTCATTGCTCATTAAAAAACCAAACACTGCTGCTATATTGAGGCTGCACTTTTTTTTTAATGAAATGGAGTGCCCCATGGTAACAACCCACACACTGTAACAAGCTGCAACTATTTAAAATATTTTTCCCCCATCAATTTAATACACTCCTACACTCTTTCCTACTTGTGCTACAATTACAGTACAATGAAGAAAAGCTACTGCAGCAAGGGAAAGAAATTATCCTGGGTACCCCTTAGAAGAAACAGCAGTTGAAGGAAACTATCAGCTGACATCATTCCTGCTGACTAATTCTCTGCTATGGCAGTGAAGTTTGTAGGCTTAGAAACACTTATGTCCACCTGACCCTTCTTTCATAAATACCCCTTCACCTCTTCCCTTAAAGCAGATCTAACACTGTTAACTTAGCTCAAGGAAATGTGAACTTTAATATCACCTTCACAAGCAGACAGTGTTACTTACATAAACTATTTTGCGGTGCATGTAATGCATAAACACAAACTGTCCTTTACCTACAATTACACATTACCTAGTTTCCAGATATTAAGATAATAAAATTTATTACTTTCTCAGAAAGTAGTTATAGCATTTTTTTTGTAATGCTACTGGACTGCACTAACTCATTACTATCACCACACATCTTCACATTAGGATCTTACAAACAACAACACAGTATCAAATCTATTAGTTATTTCTTATCCTCTGCTTACATTATATACCAGAGCTATTCAATTATGTATGATACTGATCTAGGTTTTCTTGGTATATGCACATGCCAACTTGTGCGCTATATGAAAATCTAGACCTTAATAAGCTCTACATATCCCCACTACAGAGAGTCTAAACAGCACTTTCTGAAAGTTTACATGTATTATAATACTGTGCCATCTTCTGAGAGAATGAGACTTTTAAAAAAGCTCCTCTGTAGTCAATTCACAAGAAATACTGGTGTTTAGGGCAACAAGCTACACCTGACACATTTCACACAACCATCTTCTATTCACAAGTTTCCAGTTACAGCCAAGAATTCAGTTCAGGTAAGACTGACTTCCCAGTAAGCTAAATACCTCCAAACCCAAGTAACAGGAAACAATAGGAAAATTATGTCATGTATGTAAAACAATTTCGTGCTGCTAAAGCACCTTTTATCTTTTTTACATCATCACTAAGCAATTACATTAACCAAGGAAGCAGATGTATATTAAGAGGGTAACTGTTTCTGGGCCGCAATACATTTATTTACATCATTTCGCAATCAAGACACAATGAACATTTAAAGAGCTCAAACACTGATTTAGTATTATACTTGGTAGCAAACCTCCCGCCCCACATCTCTAGAGATGTTTTACCCCAATAATTTTGAAGGGAGAAAATATTTTGAAGGGAGAAAATTGATCTTAGACCTTCCTCATTTCAAGTAAAAAATGCCTGCAGGTCCCTCTAAAATGCGAAAAATCACTGAGTATATCACATAAAGTCAACACAGTACTACTTCATCTACAAAATATTTTTATTATCAGTGAAATACATAACACTGCCCTTCAAAGAGTCACGCTCGGATTCAAACTGAAAATCACTTAAAACACATTGAGCAGATCACAGTTTGGAGCTGTTTTCGGCTCCTTCCAAACTCATGAATATGTTAATCTCTCTTATCACCCTCAACGACGTTTTTATAATTATAGCAACAGGGTATACTAAAAATAAAACAGCGTACTCCAAAATAAATTTCTGAAAACCAAACGACTAAGCATCAGCAAGAGTGACCGACTCCCAACGCAGCTCGCTGCAGAGGGGGCACGCCCTACTGTTCCGGGAATAGCGAAGCCGTGGTAACGTGCGCCGAGGAAGTAGGAGAAAGGCACCGAAATACACACTGCTGTGATTTCAGCACATCTTCCTTTTTCCGTCATTTCGCCGTTTCCACGCAGCCCCCAAGGGGCGCAAGGCAGCTCCCTGAGGACCAGGAGGAGGGATCGCGCCCGGCGAGCAGCAGCAGCCCGCCGGAAGGGCTCGGGCCAGGCCGGGCTCGGCTTCCCCTGGTCCGCCCGCACCAAGCCGACCGCGGCCACACGGAAGGGGCCGCACACCGCCGCCCCAAGCCTCTCCTGCTCGCCGACCTGACCAACGAGTTCCGCCTTGGCCGCTCCTCCAAACCTGAAGAACCGGGTTCCCGCCCCGCTTCGTCGCCCGAGTTTTGTGTCTATGACACCCTTCCTCCTCCCGGCCCTCGCCCTTACCCTGCCTGGGCCCCAGGGAGTCTTACCTGCGGGCCAGCCTGCCGCAGAACCGGGACGCTTCAGGAGGGAGGGGGCAATTGTTCCACTCTTCCCTCCACCGTTTCCAGGGGTGTGAGGGGCCCGTGGATCCCGGAATCACTTCAGGCTCCTTCCTTCCCTCACTCCCTACGCCCAGAGATAGGGGAACAGTGGCAAAAGCCGCCCCAGGGCAACCACGGTGCCCGCCGCACACGGACCGCCCACGGGCCGCAACAAGGGAACTGCTACCTCACTTAACCCTCTCCACCGTCCCCTACCAACCGTTCCCCGTGAGGGGTTGGGAGAACCGGAGCTGCAGGCAGACAAGCCGCTCGGCTCCAGGCCGCCTTCCTCTTCCCCGCCCCGCACTCTTGCCTCCTCCCCTTCGGCGCCAGGCGCTTATGGCCCCATCGAGAACTCGAGTGAGAGACTGCGGTAAATTTCAAACCGCGTGCGGAAGGAAGGGGCCGGCGCTGAGCAGAAGAAAAGAGAGCAAGCGCCCGACAGCCGAAGGGCAGGAGACACCGCGACCCACGCTGGCACCGACAGCCACCGCATTTGCCCGGCCCCACACAGGCCAGGGGGCGAAGCGCGCAGGCGCCACGGAGGAGAGGGCGAGAGGGCGGTACGCCCGCGTGCGCAGAGCGGGCGCGGCTGCGGGGACGGCCGTGAACGGCCGTGAACGGTGGTGGGCGGTGCCGCGCCCCGCCCCGCCCGGCTCCGCTGCCAGGGTCCTGGCCGCCTCCCGGGCAGGTGATGGGCTACTGGGGTTTTGGGCCGGTGGGGGTCACTGTGCCCTGTGGCGGCCTTTCAGCCCAGGGAAGGCGAGGAGGCGATCCGAAGGAGCAGCGCCCTCCTCTCGCCTCGCTTCTACTTTCCTCAGCAGGCAGCGGAGGGAGGGAGCGTCGTTCTCTGTAGTGTGTCGTACCGCAGCGCACGCTCTCCGCCTCGCCCCCCCTTATCATCGGGCGGGCGGCTGACTCAGTGCTGTGGTGGTGGGTGGAGGTAGGTCTGGCACCGCCTGCTTTGTGCTTCGTTCCCGGGTTTAGCTAGGACTTGTTTTTACTGATTGGCCTTCCCCAGGGAACGGGCATGCGAGAGCTCCGGGAGACCGTGGCTGCCGCTAAAGAACAGCAGCGCGCTGCATCAGCCTCGGCCGGGCCGCTGGGAGTCGCCGTGCTCGTTTGTGTGCCCAGTTCCCACCGCTTCCACATGGCACAAGAGCATTTCGGAAGATTTACTGCATGAGTATCAAGGTTTATGAGTAAAAATCGTTTGCAGACATTGGCACCTTCGCTTAGACTGGGCTAAACACGACCAGACTTCTGTAATATCAAAATTTAAATACGGCATAATCCCTAAGGAAAAAAATACTTGTAAAAAAGAAATTACTGTACCGTATTGCGGTTTATACACAGACAGTCATGAAAAATGATGAGATTCTGCTGTGAGATAGACTGGGGATCACACTGGTAGTAATTTGCTTTCCAACACCTCTGAAGTTAAGTGCAGGGTGTTTCTTAAGAGTGTAGAGATAATTAGAGGAGATGGCATTTTGTATGTTGGAAATCACATGGAAATGAAAAAAGCAACTGTTAAAATGACAAGCATAGTGGTAAGACTCAAAAACATGCACCAGAGTTCAAATGTCTTACTAAAATAAGCTCGAGTGGATGTGCACAAAGTAAAGAAAAAGGGATATGCAAGTGATTTAAATCTATTAAAGCAGATGTATAACATATTTCTTGTGTTTCATTAGTATTTTATAATTTTCTGTGTGAAAAACCTACACTCTCTCAATCTTTTTCCTCATCTGATCCTACAGTATAGCCTCACCATCCTTATTTTTAATCACATTAATTTCTGTAGTAATAGAGGATGATCTCACTGGAGGGAGGTGAAGTAAAAAGTTTCTCATGGACCATCTATAGAAAAGACCAGAAAAAGTACTGGCTTAAAACCTTCATTTTTATTTGACATTTATTCTGCAGAAGGACTCACCTGCTGAGAGATTCTCTTTATAGACAATCATCATTAAAAACATTTTGGGCTGTTTTGGTTTGCCCTAGTTGGTGGGAAGAGTCTTTTGTTCATTCTTGAGTAGAAGGTTTGTGGAGAGCTTTCTGAAATGTGGCATGTCCCAGGTCTTTATGGGATCTCTATTAATGTATTCCTGTTAAAGAGGATTTTTTTTCAATCATTTGTACATTTTTCTACAATGAAGTATTGATTTTTTCATACTGCTAGTCTTTTTGATATCATAGACTGCACATTTTTCTTCAATGATGCTGTAAAATGCATATCTCCTTGAGAGCGGGAATGCATTTTTGTCACTTGAAAGAGCAGTTGTTTACTTGACTGAAAAGCTGTGTACAGTGCAGTTAAAACAGGCAGTGGTACAGGATGGCACAGTAGCAATTCAGTAGCAATTTGGAGTTCAGCATTTCTAATGAATTGCTAAACATGTTATATACATTATATATATGTATATACATTTCATTATAAATCTTCAATTAGAAGCCAGAAAATGAAAGTTATGTTTGAACTTCTACTATGAAATGACTGCAGTTACAAAATGATCAATTATTTATGAATATGCCTTTAATGATTAAATGATTACTGAAGCTCGTATAAAGCTTGCTCTGTTAATGAGTTTCAGCTAAAAATAAGTAAATGAATGAATGAAGTATCACTGGATCTGCCTTTGAATATTTTTTTTTCTTTACTGTTGTTGTTTTATATAGTAGGTTAATATAGATCCCTTGCCATATGTAATTGAACTTACTGATTTACTGTCTCCCTTTTCTCTGGAAATCTCTCTGTAAAACTGTTTAGCTCAATTAAGGCATTCCATGGGTGGACTCTTACTCAGTCCTTTTCAGAGTGATTGTCACCTAAGAAATTATTTCTAGGATGAATCTGTAAATCAGTTAAATTGAATACTTTGAACAATGTCAACTCCCACAATAATATGTGTACAGTTTTAAAAGATTTTGTCACTCTAACAAATTGTACAAGAGAAAAAATATATTTACCTCTGCAATGTTTTCTCTTTCTGCAGTTCTTAATATCTGTTTTTTTGGTCCCACACTTTAGCATTTCTAATTTGAATCTTTTGTTTCATGATTATTGCACTTTCTGATTAGGAATGTAGTAGTGTTGGCATAAATATAGGATCATAGTGTAACTTAATTCCTGATGTCAATCTGTATTTTCTCTTCTGTGTCCTCCCTATTCTTCTCTCTCTCTCTCTCTCTCTCTCTCTCCCTCTCTCTCACCCCTGCGACCCTCCCTTTGTGGAAAGAATAACTTCACGTATTAATTTAACTGGTAGATTGGTTTACTGATGAAGACTCATTTATTTAAGAGCATTTTAAGAAATTCTGACAACCTCATCAAATTGTTTCTGTCATTTCCATTTGTGTCCTTCCTTTCCAGTAGTTTCCATCTCCTCAGTTCAGGTACCATCACTCAGCAATTCATTTGACACAACTGAACATACTTTACTTTTTCTTTTTCCTCCCCAGCTGTACTAGATCAAAGCTGTAGTAGATCAAAGTTCAAACTTACCAAGAAACTAACCAATGAAACAGTTTATTCCGTTGCCACTTTTTCACTTCTCTTCCACAATGTAAAGGTAGCTCTTGGCAGTTTAAGGAGTTGAAAGTATCCAAGTCTATTTGAAACCATATTGCTTCTGAAAATATTTTGGCCTGAATATTGTTTCTAATATGATTTCCTGTTCTAAGTAAGTAGCAGCGCTTTCTTCTATGTGTTATAATTGAAAATATTACTTGTAATTATTTCTATGGTTTTAAGCAACTTAAATTGTGCAAGATGGTTTGGTTACGGGAATAAACTACTCCTCTTTATTGATGTACATATATAGATGTGTCTGTACATGATTATACAAATCAGGTCAGTTTCTTTTAATTGGTTTAATTTGTTTAATAGACTTTTCCTGTTCTCCAAATTACACTGGTATGTTTTGGCAATAACTTTCAAAACATATTGATGAAGAAGCAATCCTCACAATCAATTCCTTACTATTTCCTTTGGAAAAGTGGATTTTCCCTGAGTCTAAATACCCAAGATTAAATAACCAAATTTTCCTATGGAAAGTAAAGTTTTAAAAGGGTAAAATAAAGACATTATGGAGAGCAATATTTATTCTACATCATTCATAGGATGCATTGGATATTGTGACAGATGACTTTACTGTTTCTGATGAAAATGTTTTAGATTTTCCAAAGAAGAAAGGAAGAAGGATAGTGGGAAAACCACCCACCTTGAAGCAATTGATAGGCAAGTTCCTTTAGTCACTACTTAGTGCCTCTGCGGTCTGTAGCATAAGTTCTCCATATTCTAAAAGAAAATTGAAGGAATAGAAAGATCTGGAGAAAGTGATTCAAATATGTCTGCTCTTAGTTACTACTTCCATTAAGGTTCAAATGAGCTTCCAGCTCAATAGGTTTCTGCCAGATGAGGACAAAGAGTTGTAGTGATGTGCAGCAGTCTGCCTCTGCTCTGTTCTCTTCAGTGATCAGCCTTCTAATAACTTGTCATTTCTACCTGAATTTATAGTGCACGCTTTGCATAGATGTTGCATATGCTGTATTTGCGTCCCTATAAGAATGGTATGTTCATATTTTACAAGCTAGAAATTATAGACAGGGCACCCTATAGGCTCAACTTATTTTTTCACACCACATTCCTTGAAATGATGCTATGGTTCCTACATTTTAGAAACTTGCAAGTACTAATCCAGAAGGCTTGATAGGAACTTTGATAAAATAAAAAATACATGCCGTAGGTGTGTGCTAAACATGCCATGGATGTCTTCCTGCAAAATATGATCAGTCATCCATGTAATTATTCTTTAGCTGCCATAATACTTTGAAAAAAAATTGTATGTAAGCAACCTGAATTAGACTAAATGGTTCACATGAAGATGCAGTTAGGACAGTTTTTACCAAATATCTAATTAATTTTATTACCTTCTAGGTAATAAATCCAGGCAATAGATCCAGGAAGAATACCTCTTGACTTTGAGAACCAAAACCTCTTGAACAGAAAAAAGATAGACCCTTCTTTGAGACCTGTCCTGGTTTAAAAAGGAAGTGAGTTTTTTGGGATGCTGTGGTCAAACCAATAGTTGCTCAGATTTGAATATTGGCACCTGGTGTGGCCACTGAGGACATGGATATGCCTCTGAGAACACAGGGGGTTAAAAGCAGAGAAACCTTCCCTTGGGGGTTCGGGTGCTAAAAGAGGTCAGAGCTCCCCTGCCCGGCTGCGGGCTGGGCGGGGCAGGGGAAGCCATGCGGCCAGGTGGGGTAGGCCGGGCCTTGGACAGAGAAGGGAGGTGAAGGCCCCTGAGGATGGAAGGGTGGAGGAGCGCCGAGAGGCATCGGGCAGTCACCCCCCCCCCCCCCCCGCCACCCCGCCTCCAGGAGAGAGAGAGCGCTGGTGTCTGTGCTTGTGCCACCTTGAAATTTGATAGCACGGCCAGCTGGGGGTGGGGGGTGCGATGAGAAGGTGCCCAAGAGGGCAGCATGGGAGTTCTGGACAGGCAGAGCCTGAGATTTTTAACCCTTTTCTTGGATGATGGAAACCTTACAAATGCTGATCCTCCTGGAGCTCAATGAGAAGAGAGATAGAGATGAGATAAGAGGAAATGGGCCATGAGAGAAGTTGAGAAAAATCTTGGTGGGAGGGATGATGCAGTGGCCTTTGGCTGGACTTTTCTTGTATAGCCATGGACAGAACCATTTTTCCTGTGACACAGAGACTGCATTTAGGGGAAGGCAATGGCTCGGAGCCAAGAGAGTGCAGTGATGTTATGTGAAGGAGTGCGTGAGCAGAGACAATGGGTGAGGAGGGCGGTGGTGCCCTCTGTCTTCAGGGAAGAAGAAGATCTCTGTTCTTGAGACCCCTCGGCCCCAGGGGGTGAATGTGCAGGGACAGGTGTCCCGAAGGTGAGAGACTGTGCTTTTTTTGGAACTGGGCAAAGCATCCTTAAAAGGGGAACCCAAGAAGTAGCTCTGGTCCATGCACAGTGGTGAGAGCACTGGGCATGGAAGGAAGATGTCAGGATGGCAAATGATCTCCAGGCGGTGCCATGTGTGACATGGAAACACAAGAGGTCTCAACTGTGTTTCCAGGGGAAGCCTATGGTACAAGAGGGACTCCTCTCTCCTTGATGAACTGAGAATTGATTATCTAAAGGGTGGTGATAGAATGAGAGTTGGTGATCTGAGGGGTGGTAACTGAATTGAGAATCCAAGGTTTTGTCCAGCTGTGATGTATTGGAAATTTGTTGGGGGGAGGAGGAATGTTTTTGGAAGGTTTTCATTCTGAGTTCTGTGTGTTTCTTTTCACATATAGTTGTAGGTTAATAAAGTTTTTTTCCTTTATTCCTAAACTGGAGCATACTTTGCTCTATTTCTGATCACATCTCACAGCAGACACCAAGGAGAATATATTTTCATGGGGGCGCTGGCATTGCACCGGCATCAAACCATGACAAGACCCAATAGCACACATCCATGTGCAGGGGGGAAAGGTGTATCTGTGTGGGTGAATGGCAAGTGCACTCACCCACAAAACAGAGCCAATATTTAGTAAATCAACATATAGTAAGTGTGGATGTATATAATTTCCTGATCTTTCTTAATCTTTTTTTTTCAAAGGTTAATTTGCTTTTAAAGATTTTCTAGTCAGTTGAAAAATTCTTCTGTGTTTGTGTGAGAATAGAAATATCCATAATGCTTACTGTGTAAGGGCAATCCTTTGTACTAGATGATGAAGATTTAGAATATGATATTTTCATCTGCATAAATCAATTTCCTTCTTTTGGAAATATTTTTGTTATTCAAAGTAGTAACTTTCAAAATATATTTTAAGAAAGTGTAGAAATGGAGATCATCATTTGTATGACAGAAATACAAAGAAAATCCCTTAAAACTATCCATTCCATCATTTCAATATTGTATTTTTGAAATTTCAATTCTCACTTTAAAATCACTTTTAAATGCTCTATCTTCACACAGTTTTCTTATTTATCCATTTTTAAGCTTCAAAATGATATTTAGGGAAGAGTGATTTACTGTAACTACTTCACCGTTTGCAAATTAACATAAAAGGGGAGGGAGGGAGGAAGGCAGGAAGGAAGGAAGGAAGGAAGGAAATGAGAAAAAGAAAGAAAGAAAGGAAAGAAAGAGAAAGAAAGAAAAGAAAGAAAGAAAGAAAGAAAAGGAAAGAAAGAAAAAGAAAGAAAGGAAAGAAAGAGAAAGAAAAAGAAAGAAAGAAAAAGAAGGAAAGGAAAGAAAGAAAAAGAAGGAAAGGAAAGAAAGAAAAAGAAAGAAAGGAAAGCAAAGAAAGAAAAAGAAAGAAAGGAAAGGAAAGAAAGAAAGAAAAGGAAAGAAAGGAAAGAAAGGAAAGGAAAGAAAGAAAAAGAAAGAAAGGAAAGGAAAGAAAGAAAAAGAAAGAAAGGAAGGAAAGAAAGGAAAGGAAAGAAAGAAAAAGAAAGAAAGGAAAGAAAGAAAAAGAAAGAAAGAAAGGAAAGAAAGGAAAGGAAAGAAAGAGAAAGAAAGAAAGAGAAAGAAAGAAAGAGAAAGAAGGAAAGAAAGAAAGGAAAGAAAGAGAAAGAAAGAGAAAGAAGGAAAGAAAGAAAAAGAAAGAAAGGAAAGGAAAGAAAGAAAAAGAAAGGAAAAGAAAGAGAAAGAAAGAAAGAAAGGAAAAGAAAGAGAAAGAAAGAAAGAAAGGAAAAGAAGGAGAAAGAAAGGAAGGAAAGAAAGGAAGGAAAGAAAGGAAGGAAAGAAAGGAAGGAAAGAAAGACAGAAAGAAAGACAGAAAGAAAGAAAGAAAGAAAGAAAGAAAGAAAGAAAGAAAGAAAGAAAGAAAGAAAGAAAGAAAGAAAGAAAGAAAGAAAGAAAGAAAGAAAGAAAGAAAGAAAGAAAGAAAGAGAAAGAAAGAAAGAGGAAGGAAGGAAGGAAGGAAGGAAAGAAAGACAGAAAGAAAGACAGAAAGAAAGAAAGAAAGAAAGAAAGAAAGAAAGAAAGAAAGAAAGAAAGAAAGAAAGAAAGAAAAGGAAAGAAAGGAAAGAAAGAAAGAAAGAAAAAGAAAGAAAGAAAAAGAAAGAAAGGAAAGGAAAGAAAAAGAAAGGAAGGAAAGGAAAGAAAAAGAAAGGAAGGAAAGGAAAGAAAGAAAAAGAAAGAAAGGAAAGGAAAGAAAGAAAGAAAAAGAAAGAAAGGAAAGGAAAGAAAGAAAGAAAAAGAAAGAAAGGAAAGAAAGAAAGAAAAAGAAAGAAAGGAAAGAAAGAAAGAAAAAGAAAGAAAGGAAAGGAAAGAAAGAAAAAGAAAGAAAGGAAAGAAAGAAAGAAAAAGAAAGAAAGGAAAGGAAAGAAAGAAAAAGAAAGAAAGGAAAGAAAGAAAGAAAAAGAAAGAAAGGAAAGGAAAGAAAGAAAAAGAAAGAAAGGAAAGGAAAGAAAAAGAAAGAAAGGAAAGGAAAGAAAAAGAAAGAAAGGAAAGGAAAGAAAAATAAAGGAAGGAAAGGAAAGAAAGAAAAAGAAAGAAAGGAAAGGAAAGAAAGAAAAAGAAAGAAAGGAAAGGAAAGAAAGAAAGAAAAAGAAGGAAAGGAAAGAAAGAAAAAGAAAGAAAGAAAGGAAAGGAAAGAGAAAAAGAAAGAAAAGAAAGGAAAGAAAGAAAAAGAAAGGAAAGGAAAGAAAGGAAAAGAAAGAAAGAAAGGAAAGAAAGGAAAGGAAGAAAGAAAGAAAGAAAGGAAAGGAAAGAAAAGAAAGAAAGGAAGGAAGGAAAGGAAGAAAAAAGAAAAGAAAAGAAAGAAAGAAAGAAAGAAAGAAAGAAAGAAAAAGAAAGAAAGAAAG